CCGGACAAATCGCACTCTCGCCTGCATTTCGCGCACTCGACACGCACGATCTCCCCAAAGGGTTGCGCGCGCATGGGACAAATCGGCACTCTCGCCTGCATTTCGCGCACTCGACACGCACGATCTCTGCAGAGGGTTGCGTGCGCATGGGACAAATCGCACTCTCGCCTGCATTTCGCACACTCGACACGCACGATCTCCGCAGAGGGTTGCGAGTCAAGTCTCCAAAACGAGCGTTTCGTACGAGACTTCCTCAAAAACTCACACGTCAAAGTCTGTAAAACGAGCGTTTCGTACGAGACTTCCTCCAAAAGTCAAGCGGAAACACCCATCGGAGCACACACATCACGCAGCCCTGCCAAGCAGCTTCGCGATTCCAGCCCCTCCAAACAACATCCGCTCACACGCCAATCCCAATGTGACAGCGACATTCACCTCTACCACGACTCACAACCTCACGATTCCCTGCGCCTGCCACGAATCTTTCCGCGTCCGCGTCCACACGTGTAACGCGCACAGAGTACTGCGCCTGCCACGAAATGTCACCTCCGTCACACCTCGCAACCTCACGTTTCCCTGCGCCTGCCACGAGAATCGCACTTCCACGCTTCAAAGCCCGCACGAAGTCCTGCGCCTGCCACGAAAAGTGACAATATCATCTCATGTGAGCTTCAACAAAATTTGCACCACACCACACGTTTGGAATGATTTCGACCCGTTCAGAGCACACTCCCATCCATCAAAATCGCCATTTCAGCTGAGACTTGTCACGAAAACAGAGCTTCGATGCCACGCCCTGAAACGCAAATCCCAATGGCACGGCCACATCCAACACCCCAAAAACACGACTCTCCAAACGCTAATCCCAATGGCACTGCGCCGTAACCTGCGGATCTCACAAAACGCTGCGCCTGTGCAGCGAAATGCATCACGTTTCTTGCGCGACATGTCCTGCTCCTGCAAATCCCAATGGATTAGCGGCGCAAACTGACACGTGACACATCCATGCAAAGTCACTTGCAAAAGCTTCCCCCAATGGCAGCAAATTTGAGACGCGACGACGACGACAAACGACGACAAACGACGACAAACGACGAGAGACGACGACAGACGACGACAGACGACGACACGACGCAAGCCACGCGAACACAGCTCCAACCCCCAGACCCCCAACTATAAACGGGAACCCTTCGCTACGCATTCGGGAAAAAAAGTTGGCTGGGGCTTATGCTGGGGAAATTCGCGGGCTCCCCATATGGAAGGTTTTTTGCGTCAAACCACCATATCGCTGTCGCTTGGCAGACAGGTTTGGAATCAGTTGAGGTGGCTTTTGACAACAGGCCCATGATTTCACAATCTTCGCGAACCAATCCTTCATTTGCTACCCATTCTTGACCTGTCCGTTTTTTCCAGCGCAAAGGTTGAGAGGATATCCTTGCCCTCCCAAGCTTCGATCGGGGACAATGTGTGTGTGTGTGTGTGAAACCCTTGGAGTCACAGAGGTTCCTTTGAATTTGTATTCGTTTTTCTTTTGGCGGGGGGGCAACCTCGTGAGCATAGCTGGTTGCCCAACGAAGTCTGATCAACTCCGCGTACCTGCTTCTTTTTGAACTGTTGCTCACGCTGTGACTCCACTTTTCCATAAAGGGCTAATGCATCCTGCAGATGTGAGCGGCCGCGTTGTTTCGTCCTGTCGTCGCTTCGACCCCCTTACATGACTTCTCAGGAATATGGGTACATAGGTTGGCACGTGGCGAACCGCGATTGTGTCAGTACGTGCATGCGTGCGCGCAAGAGAAAGAAGGAATGAGATGGCAAGACATGAGGACTGAAAAACATAAAAAGAAAGAGGAAGAAAAGAATTGTGACGGGTGTAAAGGGGATGAAAGATGAAAGGGGAAACCAGATGGAAGGGCCGAAAACCAACGAAACCAAACCTCATTGAGAAAACCTAGGTAGACCTGGCTTCGTTTGCATTGTACACGATGTATGTGCACCTAACGCTCCAACAGGTCCCAATGGACCTTGAAAAGCTTTGGTCGCTGCGACCACCTCAAGGCATAAGCCTACTCGAGACCGCTGCAGTCACCTAATGCTGCCTACTTCTCAAACACAATAATTCGTCAAGTGTTGGCAAAAAGACTTTGGCGTAAGCCTCCTACGCTTGCTGCAGGCTACTCCATTTCCAAGCCATGGAAACATAGACAAACCCCCGTTCGACGGGGCCACAGCCTTGGGTTCACTGGGCTTCATGCCAACACTCAAGATAAAAACCCAGGTTTGAGGTCGCCCAGGTTTCACAAAACCACACACACTTGTTTTTTTTCGTCTTCTTCTCACGTCTTCGTCCTTTTTTTTTGCGCGCTCGCACCTTAGTTTTTAGGCTTGTGGCCCCCGCACGCAGGGGGGCGTGTGTGTGAAACCCTTGGAATTAAAGGGAACTTTTCAGTTTCTAAGCAGGGCACACGGCATCCATGACCCACCGTGTGCAACAAAGGTACGGTCATGGATGGGAAGAGAAGGCGGATCACCTTCCTGTACCTGCAGTTTGTCAATGTTCTAACCTGCAAGATGATTCAGGTCGGCAGATGTGAGCGCTCGTCGTCATCTTGTCACATCACGGATACCGATGACCTTGGAAATTTTGGGCCTCCCTCCTTTCGTGTTGACCTCCAAGATGCTCAGACCCCCCCGTACATGCTTCCCTCAGGAACTTGGTTACCTAGGTCGCAGCCGTGCGAATTATCCCGAGCGTGTGCGCGTGTGACAGACAGACACACACACACACACACCCACCCGCCCTCTTCTGGAAAGCCTTGCGGGACCTGTGCTGGCGTATGTCAATCAGAAACGGCGAAACAGAACACATCATGCTTATCGGCATTATGTAATGTCAAAGCCAAGCAGCCCAAAGATATCACATTTTTGGCAGTTGGCGGCCAACCCGAGCCCCAAAGTCTGACAAACAACTATATTATATATGGCCGTTCGGGGGCTGTGAGAGGTTGCTGGAATGTAAACTTGGTTCTACCAAGTTCTACCCAAGACCATCCAATGATTCCATGTGATGAAGTGTTTTGCTAGTAAAATAATCGCGGACATGAGCCTTTGGCACGCCCAGGAGCGCGACAGTGATTACCACGGCCTGGTGTTTTGCACCAACAGCGGTGTTTTGGGCCATGGCAGCGGAATGGACACGGCGCTGCAGGTTGCCCAACGCTTGACGACCTTGCGCTTGGAGGATGCGAGTGCCTCCTCGGCGGAGGAGGGGAGTTTCCAGAAGCACAGACTGGTGCACGGTGTACTTGGACAATTTGGATTATGATGTCTTGAGCAAGATGTGCCGACATATTTCCTCAATTTATTTCACTTGGAAACCTTCTTCCGGTGAATTGTTTGACATTGTTGTTGTTAGTTAGTTAGTTAGTTAGTTAGTTAGTTAGTTAGTTAGTTAGTTTGTTTCATTTTTTAAAACAGATATTGTTAAGAGTACAGTTGAGGGAACCGCGATTCTAAGCTAAGTGTTTCTCATCGAGTGAGTCCGAATACTTCAATGTGTTCCTTTTGGTTGTAGCGGTTCGTAGGTGGCTGTAAGATGCAGTGAGTATAAAAACACGAGTTGGGGGCAGGTGAAAAGCTTTGTTGCCATCAATCGAAACATATCTCAGCATTTTTTGCGGCTTGCTTTGTTTGATTCATGCAGTATGCTGCCTCGTATTCAATTGTGTGTTTGTCTTCTTTGCATATCTGTCTTTGCTTGAACCACATCCCATTCTGTGCCAAGGGGTGGCCCTCTCGTGAAACATACATGACATACATATGAGTTGCAGTACCCTTTTTGAACGCCTGACATTTCCAGTGGCACTTCATTGGCCATCTCTGGTCTTTTCTCCGTGGCCAGGACAAGGAGATGATCGACGCTCGCGTTCGCTCGAGCTCTGGTGGCTTCGAAGCCACCAACGGCTTCGTGCGTATGGCCTTGCGTGAAGCCTCAGAGCAGGCGACGGTACCGGTATTCACCCCAAAAGCCGAAAGGGATACGCCAAAAGCCGAAAGGGATCGGTTTCTTTGGTCCAAACTCGTTTGAGAGGGCACTGGCTCAAAAAGGGTTTGCAAAACATCCCACAAGATGTTATTATCGCATAGGGTTCATCTCTAGGAGTCTTGAGTAACTCTGAGTGGGTGCGGTTTCTTTATGAAGTATGGGGAGGGATGTGTGGAACATCAACACACATTGTCGTGGGCAATCATATGCTCACAGAAGTAAGTCAAACACTGTATAAGGGCCAGAAGGAAACCACAGAACCGAAGTGCAAGCGCTCACAAGAAGAACATCCAAAGGGATGCGCTCTCACAAATCGGGTACTGTACTTTGTGCTCAACACGTAGCATGTTTTTCTTGCGCCGGCGAGATTTCCTGTGCAGGCGCAAGGGTCCTTCGAAAATGACTTGTCCAAAGTGGGTGCTTTGGCGGCCCATCAAAACCATCCTTATTGAATGAGAGCTCCAGGACTCCAAGCTTGTTTTAGCTCACCTCAGCTGGCCTCATGAAGCACTGGCTGAAACGAAGATGGCAGTGCGAATTCCTGTGAAGCATGCCATCCCCTCTCGACTCATTGCTGTCAGGGGCTTGAGCAGATTGGCAGTTTTAGTTTCAAGTTTTACAACTCCTGAAATGACCAATGAGTGCCATACAGCATGGTCCTTTGCATTGTTTGTGCAGGGCACAATATTCCAAGCTTTATCGTTTTAAGTGCCATTATTCTTCAAATTAATATTGTATATAGAAGCCGAAGGACTTCACACAATTCACTTGTGCAAGGTCACGTAGTGTTGCAAGTGAAAAAAGAAAGCTTGCTCATTCCTGTGACAATCCTCTCCGGGGTTGTGGGGACTGGGGACCATCTCAAGTTGTAGTTGTCCGGTGCTATGCAAGGTGCAAAGACTTCGTGTTTCGCAATGGTTTCATGATATAATCTGTTAAACGCCTGATGTGTTCAACAATTCAGACTAATAGATCTTTGGGTGTTTCTTCTGGTCACGGCAGTTTCAATCTGTTGTAACTTGAGGGAAGCTCTGAGCAACTAATGAAACGTTGGTTGTTCTTGTTTGTCCAAGCAATGTTGGGCTTGGAGGCTGCAGTGTAGGACTTGATGACGAGACAACAGGCTGAGATCGATCATTGGCTGGAGGTCTCCTTGATTGTGCCAAAACCGCTAAAAGCTGACCACCACATGTTTTGCCGGCTCAGATTTTCTTCGAAGATGATTCCGTTTCCATCACTCTTTCTACTTTCTGTACCCAGGTTGTGGTTGTACCTTTGTCGTTTGGCCCAATGTGCCAAGGTTTGCAGGAGTCTTCCCTTAATCTGGCGAAGTGGTCCTGAACCGGTCCTGGCAATCTATACACCATCCTACACCTGATGTTTTCTTTTTTTTCAACTTTTGGTCCATAGATTGTTCCATTGAGTTGATTTGGCTCGTTTTAGCAAGCCAGCCATGGGCTATGCCTTCTTTTCTACGCTAGTCCTGTACTGGTTGACTGCTGGCGGCCATGCAGAAAAGGATTGCGAGGACTAGGGTTGATTGAAATGACATTCGACACGACATTCGTACTGGCATCAATGTTGGACATCATTTGTTGAGTCTCAACCCTCTTTATGCCTCACAGAACTTGTCACACACACACACACACAAGTGGTTCTTTTCAAAAAAGAGAGAATCGATTAGAAGACAATTCGAAACCCTGAGGACTCTGATTGCAGCGGCCACTTCGCCCAATTTCTCCAGCTGCGCAGCGAAACGTCTGTGAACCATCCCTGGCCACATGCCCGTGGTGCGTTTCAGTCTGGCTTCACACCAGAAGCTTGGTTGGTGGCACAAAGGAGGGACCCGCTAAATCTTCACCTGGTAGAATCGGAAGGGGAATGGACGGCATGACAGAGGTTTTGTTGAAGCTGAGGTGGCCCGATAAGGGCAGGCTTTTGCTAGTCACCACGCAAATTGAGTTGCAAGTGAACAACCTTATGCATTGAAGGATGGACATTTGACTACAGTAAGTGAGTGCAAAAAGATCGGGCTCGGACAAAATGGCTAAAGCTGCCTACCGATTAAATCCCGTCGCTTGTATGCGTATCTGAAAATGTAAGGAACTTGCAGTAACACGTTCATGGGCGGGCCAGCTCGGCTCGATTTAAGCCACGAAGCCACTTCTCACCAAAGTGTGCACGGTGTTTAAAGATGGTTCAGTGAAGACAAAGACCTGGCTCGGTGGGTTTTGTATAGAACCTGGTTTAGTACGGATTCATATAGTTGGCTTTGAGTGGGAATAACTCTTCAGACATGCGCAAGACCATGAGTCCACACGTTTGTCGCTCCAAGCCTGGTGTGGTCTGATTTTTTTGGGGTCTTTTTGGGGTCTTTCATGTCCAAGCCATGAATGAACCTTGGCGGTGAAGACCCCGAGCTTTAGGGTTTTCACTTGTTCCGGGCGGACTGCATCGGCACCAGGAAGCAGGGTCAGGCTTCCAACCGAGTTGGTCTTACAGTAACTCGGCGGAGGGAGGTGAACCTTTGGCGAAGGACCTAGAGGAGACGGGCCTGGTGAGATTCGTCGGGAAGTGCCTCACCAGGAGGTTCAGTTCTTTCTCTGTTTTGCAGAACTATACCTTGGTCAAAGCCACATATATATATATATATACATGTATACGTATATACATACGTGTGTATATATATACATAATTACACACACCAAACATATCAAAACATCTACAATCTACAAAATCCACAAAAACATCCAAAACTATCAGGACTATTGAGACTCCCCCCATTGGGATTGGGAGGTGTAGTTTTGGATTTCTTTTTTTAAACCACAGGAAGGGCGTGGCGGCTCCCTCAAACACAAGTGGAGCGCCAAGAAGTGTAAGCGCTTTATCAGTCCTCATCATGAGGGAGAATGGATCAGGAAGCACTAGTTATTTCTTTCAACTAGTGCTGCTTAGCGACTCCATCCTTCATTTGGACGTGACTCCAAAAAGAACATCAAAGCCACTTCACAGACCGCTTGGGGGCTTGGGGGTATTATTTGGAGGTATTTGCCCAGAATGCACACTTGAATCACTTGAAGTCTTTTGACCGACGACGCGCGATGCGACAAACCGATCGTGACTCGAACCATGCATGCAATCATCCGCAGGCGATCCGAAAGGCAAATACCACGACGTGTTCGCTGGCGGGATGCTTGGATATGCTTGGATTGATTCAGATTTTATCTTTCATTTGGGAGAGCGCTAGTGGTCAAAACAGCCAAACCAGTGCCTTCAATAAGAGACCCCGATCCGTCTGGACTCCTCCGAGGCCGGTGATCGACCGAGAGGAGAATCTTTATCAGATGACTGCAAAAGGTTTGTTTGCCTTCAACTCTCGAGGTGCGGAAGGTGTGTGAGGGAGTGTAGTTTCTTTTTCTTTGGGGTCTTCAGCCGCAAAGACTCGCAGATCCGAGCAGGTACCACAGCAAATTCCGTAGCAGGTTCAGAGCCTCCGGAATTTCAGGCGCAGGTTCCGGGGCAAGTTCCGGAGGAGGTTCCGGGCAAGTTGCGGAGAAGGTTTTGAGCAGGTTCCAGATCAAGTTCCGGAGCAGGTGCCGCAGCAGGGTCCGCCCGCAGGAGGTTGCAGAGGAGGTTCCGGAGCTTCCGGAGCAGGTTCAGGTGGTGTTCCGGGGCAAGTTCCGGAGCACTTTGCAGATACGCTGTGTCCCTCTGACGCGCTGACCTGTTGCCACCCTGACACTGACGTGAATCGTGTTGTCATGCTGACATGTTTTCATGCTGGTACGCTGGCATGGATCATGCTAACGTCCTGACATGTTGTCTGGCTGAAATGCTGCAGTCGGTGCCGTCGTGCTGACTTGCTGGCAGAATCCAGAGCGGGTTCTGGAGCAGGCTTGCTGGTCCTTGCTTGTAGTGTCGCTTGCACATATGTGAGCATATGACATATGATGTGTGCTATGCCCACGTATTGCTTGCGCGGCACATTGACAAGGGTCTCACTTCTGAAGACAGCATTGTGCGGCAAAGACACGACGCCTGTTGGTGAACTTGCAATGGTGCCACTGCCCAGTAGGCGGGCTTTGATGCCCAGCTGTTGGGGATTTTTCCTTGGGCTTGTCGTGGATGAGCACTGGGTGGGGCAACGGGAGCAACTGTGCGAGCAAGCTTGCAATGTTTAGTTGGAGACTGCGCAAAGCGTGTTTGAGATGATTGGCTAGGATGGGGCGAGTGTCGCCATCTTTGTTCCCCGGAGGGCCCGGAGGGGTACCAACCGCTATGATGAACAGTCCTCGAAAATCAATCAACGACCCCTTTGGAACCCATCTGTAGTTGGAGAGGGTTGCCTTCCTGCTTGCATGTAATAAGTTTTTAGTTTTTTGTCATTTTCGCTGGTTTAGTTTTTGAGCATCAACTGTGGTACTTCAACAGAAATCTGAACGTCCGGGGACAAGACAACAGGTAGCAGAAGTTGTCACAAAGTAGATGGTTTTTCCTGATATGGGGAGCTGGTTCCTTGTGTCCAGCAGCGGGTGCACAATGGAGGGCGGCCTTCGCCAGTGTTTGTCACACACCAAGCTGTCAAGTGACAAGGATCGAATGTGGAGCCGGTCAATGTGTCTAGGCGGTCAATGGGTTCAAAAAGTCGAGAATGTCTACAATCCACGCATCTCCACCCTCCGAAATTCATTTCCAGGCTCAACAAACTGTTGCAAAAGGGCGACCCAAAACGGGCAGCGTCCACCCTTAGAGACTGAAGGTGACGGCATGGCCCGACCCGTTTCTTTTGCTCATCGTGCCAAAGATTCGATTCTGAATGAATGTGAATGGCAAGAAACCAATGACATAGTGACCTCCAAACCAGAGGGGTGACCTCAGCGCTGGGTTATCGGTTATCACCTTGCCAACAGTATCGAAAACCAAAGCAAGCTAAAACCAATGATGCTCCTTTGGGAATCACAGAGGGGGGTCAATTTGGTATCAGATTCGTACATGTAGATTGGCATACCCTTTTCGTCGTTCAACTCCGGCGAACACGTTCCCAAGGCTGTCGGTCCGGCGAACACGTTCCCAACCTTCGGAGGTGAACGGCTTTGGCACTACGCGACGCCCGGGGAATCGACCAACGAGCCGTGCTTGAGCGGCGAGCTGCTCTTGGGCTCGACCAGAACGGGGTGGCCCGGTGAAGGACGCGCAAGCGCGGGGGCGAGGCTTTTGGTGAGATTCTGAGGTGAGAACTTCGCAAAAGGATGCAAAAGGCAAGATAAAGTTGACTTGTGCAAAGAATTGTTTGTTGCCCCGCGTGCCGCGTGTCAGCAATTGGTTCACCTTGGCTGGAGGAGGTTTTGCTGGGTGTCGATAGAGATATAGCCAAGTTACTTGCAATTTGCAAGCTGCCCATGGTATCCAAAAACGTTGTGGGCTCGAGCCCAACAACTGATCCCTGATACCGCGAGCATATGTAGAAGATCGGGGGTTGCCAGTTGAAGTGAAGTGGTGGTTTGCGTTTCTACTGGCATTTGTATTTGCCGTCAAAGGGTATACTATACAGGATTAAATTACTGTAGAGGCCTTTTGCCGCGAACTGGCACTTTGAACCATAGTTTGAAGTCACCCCAAACAGGTGGAAGAATCTGCCGCCTCACGACACTGGTACAAAAGACAGGAGTCCTCAGTTTGGACTGAGCTCCACTGTGGTCGGAGCGGCTAAAAAAGCTGTGTCCACCTAAGGAATGCCTTTGCGGTTGACCGGCTCACTGGCAAAGAGCTTTGGGTGAGCTCTGTGGCTGACAGTGCAGGAAGCGAGTGCGGATATCCCAACGCCTACGACGCTTGGGAAATGCGCAACGGATCCGTGGACGGGGTCCGCGGTCCGCTGAACCAAGGACGGAGGATGGGGTTGGTTGTAGTCCAAGTGGAAGAGCTGGAAAACACCCATTGGAACAAAAGTGGAAAGTGCATAGGTTGTTGAGAGGATGACCAAGAACAGGTTTGCTCTCATGGAGCTGTTTAAAGGTGGAAAAGGCTTTGCATGTATACCATTTGCGTATTGAGGATTGTCATTCTTGCTTCAGTTTTCTCTTACAGGTGGTCTTGACATACCCTTTACTTTCTCCATCCATGATGTCACTATTTTGCCTTTTTGGGGGGGGAAGAAGAATCCACAATGGTTGAAGAACCTCATCAAGTTCCCGGTCGCTGGGTGGTCTTCGCTGGGTGGCTGGTCGTCTTCTTCGTTCGGAACCGAAGGACTCGAAGTCAGCTTGACCTAATAGCAAGTCAGGCCTGAACGACAATGAAGGCCTCCAACAACGACACATGGGGTGACACTGCTACTGAGTAGCACTGCTACACTGCACTGGTGTTGTTTTAGCCCAACTTCCAGCACTCCTGATGATGTACAGTAGCTTTCAATCAGACAAATGGATTCCAGGATGCTGCCAGAAGTTGAAGAGACCTATACCAAAGCCCCTTGCCATCACCTTTTTCACTTTGCTGGTGCTAGTGTTGGATCAAGCAAGCTGACATCCTTCTTCGGGTGTCAAGGCAGAATTCGGGTATATAACTGACCAGCCCAGATTAGAACTAGATATATACATCAAAAGTGCACGATCCGTGAACATCCCTGGCGACTGGATGTTCACCAGTGGACCTAGGGTTGCAAATCTTTCTACTGACTACTGCTGTAGTGCGATCTTAATGAATCCATTCACGCGGTGTTTGACAGGTTTGTCGCGGTTGTTGGGTTGGACAAGCCCCAAGGATGGTGTCTTTGTGATGGGTGCAGTCCACAACTACGAGGCAGGGTCTGGTCCCGGGGCCCACCCGCGGGGCTGACCGGGATGGCCTGGTGCTCGATCTGTGTCAAAGGTTTGGCCCCCTTTCCATACCTCCAAGCCCCACTTGAAAAGCAACTAGGTCCGGGACCAAATACATAACATAACTCTTGCACAAAGCTTACAAGGTTCCAGCCCGTTGTGGACGGGTTTTTGGGTGTCCCCGTAGAATTCTGTGGAACTGTTCCGTGGATGCACTTTGCTGCTAATCAAGCACAGGATTTTGAACGCTTGACTTCCAAGTACTTCCAAGTGAACCAGTCTATCTTGTGAAAGGTGATGGACTTCATCTCCTAGGGAAGCTCTTTTGAATTTGAAGGAGAAAAGGTGACACAAACCATCACCGACTCACATGCGAATCATCGTTGCAGATCACTGGGTGACATCAACGAGCAGTTGCTGACTTCCGACCGCTCCCGGCCGCCGAACAGGATGAACCCAGAAAAGATGGCAGGTTTAGTAAACCGCTAGTTTCAGCAGTCCCTGCACCCAGATTCGTGTGCTGGAGTATACCCTCCTCGGTGCCCCTGATAGAACCTCATACGAATGCTTACGGGGGGCAGAGCTCCCAAAATGCTTTGTACCGGCTACCTGCGTAGATAGACCCACCATTGTGGTTAACACATAAATTATCATTGTCATAAATCCCCTGCACGAATCTAAGATGCGCCGTTAAATTGACCCAAATCCAGTGTGTCATGACACCATTCACTGACCACAATTCCTGCAGTTCGGTGCCGATGACGGCAACCGGCGGATCTATGCCTTGAACGTGTCGGATGGCAAGAAGTTGTGGGACTACGAGCCAGATCGCCCTGTTTGGAACTTCACACCCTTGTGTCTTGGCGCTTCCGTCCCTGGAGAAAGCAACCCAGAGATGGCGGGGCGCCGAACGGCGCCGGTGTTGGGTTCGTTCACTAAGTGACGGCTTTGGAGTCTTGAGGACTGGAATCCGGTCCCAGCAATTCCATCAAATGCCCGAACATGTTGGAAAGGTGTGCCCACGAATTTCATGACGAGAAATGAATCACCGGAATTTCTTTTCGTCTGGCTTTGAGGGGTGTCACTTGGTGAAAGGCCACAGCGGGTTAGGAACTCCAAGGTTTAATGCCACAATCCTGCGAAGGGCCAGGCCGTTCCCTGAAAAGTTGTTCAGTTGTAGACACATCATACTGGTTTTCGGTTTTCGGTTCAGAGAAGTTGGGCAAATGATGAATACAGCTTGAATCAGAACCTCCAAATATTTGGTGGTTGGGGTACCAAGATCATTCAAAACCCATCCACCCACCTACCTTGTACCCCAACCAAACCGGCCCCACACCCCAACCAAACCCCAGTGAGGCCACCCGAAGACCGAGCGACGGGACGTGGCGTCGCAAGGTTCCCTGGTGATGGTACCGTCGTCTTCATGGACTTTGCCGGCGGCGTCTACCGGCTGAAGCTCACCACCGGCGAGGAGATCTGGAGGTGCCCGTCCACCGTTGTTGAGGTTAATAGGGCTTGATGGGGAAGGTTCATTTCTTTTTGTTGGCCCAAGCCATACAAAGATTTTACTCGTTCAGGTGCGGACCATTTTTCCCGGACCATTTTTCCCTCTGACGGGCGGGATTCCCTCAAACTGCCACTGGTGGTATTCCCTATTTAACGGAAGCGGTTGGAGGTCTTGATCAAAACCAAACACAGACCCTAACTTGTGCTCCAACCCAACAACCACAAAAAGGGATTTTGTTCAGAGCAACCAGTATCAGTAACCAAACAGGGTTCAGCCTTCCGTCATTCCCTACAACTCCCACAGGTTTGGCGTTCTCGGTTATTCCTTTGTCTGCAACCCATGCAGCACAATGTGCATCGTCTCCATGTTCAGTGCCCGATGCAGCTAGATCCCACATCCTTAGGTTTGGGGGTAGTGCCCGCCTATAATAGGTCAGGCTGGTGGGATGGATCGAATTCATTTAACCAACCCTCAACCACCAAACAACAACAAACCTCCCTCTTGCCGAAGTCTCGATGGAGGAATTTGCCTGCGGACTCGAGGGAATCCTACACCGCGACCTGTTTGATTGGAGTCGTTCGTCGTTGGGAGGTGTATATAGTCACTGATTCTGGGAGTTTCTTCTGGGCAACGTGATGTTTTGGAGAAGCTTTGCTTCAAGCTTCGTACACTACTTGCGATTCTTTCGGGACCCTCCCTTTGTGAGGTTTAGACCTGGACATTTTCGGGTGTGATAGTAGCTCTCACAGGCACAACCTATCAATCTGACCAGTAACTTTTGAGGGGCACCAGGTTTTGTGCTTGTCTTTTACCCGACTTTGATCGAGTTTGTGAGATGATCGACTTGCGTGCCAGTGGAGGCTCCAAGATGTCATTTTGAAGCAATTCTCGGCTGAGGATGGTGGGGCCGGCTTGGGCGAAAATATGGTCTACACCTGCAGCAGCTCAGCTTTCGGAAAGATGACAAGTAACCTTTCCCAGTTGTTCCGATTACCACGATGTCACGATCGGAGGGAACCACCCCATAGTCCATCTAGCATGGCTATTTTGATAGCGAATAGGTTTTGTCTTCGTCTATCTTGTATGTTGATATAGTATTTATTGGTTTTCGATGTTCTTGCTATTGCCCAGTCTTGATCCATGCAATACAAAATAGAGCCTGCGCTTCAGCATCGTGTTTTGTGTCAATGCAAGAGGCCCATTGGCCAATTTTTGATGTTCCCTTTTACCCCTGCATATGCCCCGAGTAGGAATAGAAGAGCAACGACACGCGGGTAGCAGCCTATTTCACGAACATGGATGTATAACAATGAGCAACAAGTGAATATCCTGGTCGCTCATGGTCATGACTGGAGCGTTTCACCACCATTGTGGTCTGGACTTTGGTCCGAGTTGGGACTACACCCAAAGAAACGATCCACCACCCCCTCTTTCGATGGATGTGGTTTCCACAATGTGGGTGAAACAAACCCACCTTTTTTTTTTCCGACCTCATAGCCGGATGGCCTCAAGAACAGGAGGACCCCCTCCAAGTACCACGAGTTTAAGCATGGGAGGAAGCACAACCAGGTCGGGGCACCCCTACTGGTAGTTTTGAGGGTGTCAATTTCTACACAACAGGCTCATCCACTTCTACCAACATCTTTACAACCCGTTGCGAGGCAGACACACCAATTTGATCCAATTTGTATCAAAGGGCAAAGGTATCTAAAGTACACAGCAAACAATCCATTTGAGCAGTGGGCTTTTTCCGCTCTTGTTCAGCCAAGTTCAAATTGTGGGCTCTACAGTGGTAGCTGCATCTAGTGGCATTCTTTGCGGAATTCTTGCTGCACGGCCGCGTTCGTGAGGCAACTACCTGAATGGCACCGGCCGCCAAAATTCCAGCGGTATTATCCGGGCCTTTCACCTCCACGACGGCCGCGACGCTTGAACTGGGTGCTTTTGCTGGTCGGTCTCGTCGGCGGTCGAGAGGTCGGAGTTTCATCCAGGGTCGAAGTGGGCAGAAGCACCTGGACACCGAAATGCGTCATTGGTGTTCCCCTTGGCAGCGTGGAAACGCGCCACTTTCCGCTATGGTCAGGATGTGCTTTTTCTCAGCAAATGATCCACGGCGAACTGATGGTCTGAGACTTATTTTTAACGTTGATCATGACGAACAAGTTCAAATCACCTGGAATACTCTCCGTACTGGGTACGGAAGGCGCAGGAAAAGATGGCTGCCATGGTCACTGTGGCGCCGATCAACCGATAAGGATGGTCAACGATGGATGATTGTTTCATGAAGCACGGGACTCAAACAGACCCCAAGCAGGTGTTGGGCGGGTCAACTTCTCTAGAGCACCGAAGTTCCTCCTTGAAGATGACATGGTTGAGGTGAATGCGTCCAAACAACATGAGGCCATTTGCCACAACCTTAGGACACGCAACCCGGGCAATGTAATTCTTTAAAGTGCAATTTCTTGGGTGATTCTTGAAGGACTCCCATTTGGCCCACAACATTCTGTTTGGGTAGCGCAAGACCCTCGCCGGTGTGTACCCCACTTGAGTTGGGGTTGCCTAAGAGTTCCATAGAGAGCTGGATCGCACAACTCAGAATCTTATATAAACACCTTTTCTTTCCTGTCCTTCGATCCAAATCCGCCGAGCCGCAAAACCCAGGAAGTTTGGTCCCAGATCACCATGCCCTGCAACAGCTACCCTGCCATTGGCCATATCTCTGGTTTTGACGGAGAATCGGTGGTCGTGACGCCACTTGGTTTGATTGGTGTTCGCTGGCCGTGACGCAAACCGGACGTGCCTTGAAACCAACACGTTGGATAACAGCGCGATGAACTCTATCATGGTGTCCTCCAACAGATTTCATGTACATTCAATATTGCTATATATTAGGTTGGAGGCAATCACTATTAGGTTGAAGGAGGCCATCGCTATTGGGTTGGAGGCCATTGCTATTAGGTACTGAAACCGATGATATGGAAGACATGGGTCCTCACCGCCCAAACACGTCAATCCCTTCGGAACCTCTCTGAGGCCAGGCGCCTTCATGGGCGTTTCGGAGAACAGAGGCTCTGTCATCGCCTTTGATGCCCTGACCGGGGAAGAACATTGGAGAGGCTTGGTTCCAGAGATCCCGATGTTCACATCAAAGTGTCATGTCAGAGACGCTTTTTTGTTTCCCTCTTGGGGTTTTCTCGTTCACCCGGTCCCCTCCGGAAAGCTGAGCTTCCTTCATGGCGCCTTTTTTTTGGAGGTTTTTGGGAGGGCTCAGCCGAAAACGGCGCGCCGTCCATCTTCCGAGGACTGGAAGTCGAAGCGATGGATGGATGGGGTGCTGGGGAAATGGAGGGTCTGGAGATCCGCAGGGCGGAAGGCCGGGACAGTGGGACTGACTGGTGGAGGCCGGGACACGGTTTTGGAATCCACTAGTTGGTGTTCCTTTTTTGTCCCTCCTTCTTTGGGTGAAACATGTGACAGCCCTCTTGTTTGGACAGATTTGCTGGCTCATTGCAAATCTTCCCCAGTTGTTGATCAGGTAGTTGAATCACAAAATTAACTGCAGTCAGCGAGGGAAATTGGATTTAAGCTGAGTGTAAACATGTATAATATGCAGTCAGTAGGCATGGTGGAAATGCAAGGGTGCATTTTGGCAGGGGTTAAAATCCAACCCACTGTGCAGAGCAAAGGGCAAGTGGGTCTCACATGTTTCACCACGCAACATACGCGAATGTTTGGATGCAGGGGATGGCGAATGCCGACATTGAAACCTAAAGGAGCACCAGCTCACAAGCAGCACTGAAGGTTACTCCCCAAAGGAAGAGAATAGCAGTGGGGTGGGACGGAAGGAGATCCCTCAAAACACTTGTGGGCTTTTGGTCGTATGATACGAGTCGGTTCGGGTTGCCAACGCGCCAGTGTGATCTCCGACGTTTTGGCGTCACGTTGGGGTGACGTTTTGGGGTCACCGCGTGCGCGGGCGCGTGGTGGGATGTTGTGGGTGCAAAAGAGGAGCAGTTGGTGGAACAGCGACACTCGCCGCGAGTCTAGCCAACGAAGAGGCAGAGAGTGGCACACTTTTCTTGAACCGTTTCTTTTCGAGTCTGAAACCGCAGCATGCCTTAACTGACCAAAAGAATCCAGAGATGAATGACCCGCAGGTCAGGACATGCGAATGCATTGGGTACGTTTCCACCGGTGATGGAGCTGTGGTGTGTTTCTAGCGAAGGGGAGTCTTGTTGATGAGAAGGGTGTCTTCGTGAGCCATGGGCCATCAACAACAAGACCTGCAACAAGATCGTGGGCATCCATGGGCCATCACATGGAAAAGTCTGAAGTATTGGAGCTTCACCAAAACAAGTTTCTCCACTCACTCACATCACATGCAGCACGCGATTTTTCGTCACATCACACATCATCAACTCACCATTCAGCGCGCACGTCTTGACACCCTTCCTTTAGTTTCTACCATTTGATATGTAACTTTCGCCCACCGACTCTGCCCGGAGACCCTCATACAAATGCCCCGAACCCAATGGAGGTGACTCTATGACGTTTGTCATACTGGAACTACCAGTGCATACTCCAGAGACGCTTTGCTTCCTCTCCGATCCACCATGGCCCAGTCCAGTCCGTCGAGGTGTCCAACCGTGGTGCGGCCCTGCGCAGTGGAGCGCTCCGATGGTTTTCAGTTGTGGCATGGTGGCCGTGGGCCGCAGCGATGGCAAGCAATATGGCATCTTGGGAGCCTTGGAAGAACACAACCACTGCAGAAGTCTGAAGACTGCAGCGGATGTCATGTTTTGTTTTCCGGTGTTCTATTTCCTGACGCCCACAAAGAAACCTATATATAATATATTTTATATATAGCTTGTGGTGAAGAGGGGAGGAGCAATGACCTCTCTGAAGAGCAAGGTCCGGGACTCGAGGCCGGCCTCGAGGCCGTTTGATCCGTCACGCCTATGGCATACTGTATTCTGGGCATGAAAGGGCACGTTTTTTTAGACTTGATCTTGAGACATCATATGGGTGTCGGGTGTGGGCCATATGAACCGACTATATAGAATAGCTGGGAGGTCAACCCAGATGGTGTTAGGGCTTCAGGTTTGGACTCATCCCCATATCTATTACCGTAACTGACCAAGAACATCGATTTGTTTGGCCCTTGTGGATTGGTTCATTGGCGCTGCTTCAATCAACGTCCCGAGGCCCAAATGCCAGTTGGACTGGCCCCCGAACGCCCGGCATGACGGTCGCTGGGTCGCATTGGCTGAGAGCCTCTGAAGACAAACAAGGGAAGTCAATGAAAGTGGAAGTTAGGTAGGGCCCTTAGAAAAGCACATGATCCGATACTTCCATATCTTTTTCAGGCAAGTGCAACTTGCTCCCGCCCTTTTGGCCGCTGGAAAGCGGGCGCGGATCCTTTGCGGGGCTCATTGGCCTATCCACACAGAATACCTAACTAGCTCATACTATATAACTCATCGAACGGAACGTGAATCAAGCAGCGGGCAGCCCAAGACATCGCATGGAAACCGCAAGTAAGCCATCCGGCAGAGATTGGTGCAAAGCCACTGGTGTCTTTGCTTCCACGATTGCCACCGAGGTCTGGTACAATGGCCTCCTCGGGCAGGTCACTTGGCATGTCGGACGTTGGTATCCGTCCGACCTTTCATCCGTCAGATTTTGCAGGAAGGTTCTTTTTGGCGATGCTGCAATCATGGTTCTTATTGAACCCTACGATGGGGCCATGAAGATCGAAGCCCTGCAATGGGAGCATGAAATGCCATGCAATAGGTGGGGCTTTGGCAGATATATATATATATATGTATATACACACTATATTGAAAAGCATATATATATATACATATATATCTTGTGTGTGTATATATACATTTGGGTGTTCGCCTTTTCTTCCTGTTCTCGGACTAAGCCAGGCTCAGAGGTGGTCACCCAGCATGCCATATGGCCGTGTCGCTCAGGCCACCCCGATGGGCTCAGCGTTCCTGCACGGCGCGTTGGCCGCTGCACCGAAGATGCTGGCAGTCTCCACGTGCCGAGAGTGGGAGGGAGGGACCTGCCCTGTAAGTAGCCTTTGATCAGAAAGGCAATGGAGCGAGCATAGAAACTGACTATAAAGTGGATACAGTAATGGTTTGGTCTTTTTCCTTATTCCGTAGTGGGGACCACCAAGAACGAAGGAGCTGTTTTGTTCTTGCCTTGCTTGCAGACCAAGTATAACTGGTCATCCAACCAGTGGATTGCATTGGGTTTGATGTGTTGTGTATCGGGAGTGATGTCGACTCGCACACTCTCAAGGGTTGCAAAACAACACTGTAAGGCGACGTTTGCCCTATGCAAGCCTCAGATCCAAGATCTATGTTGCATAGAAAAGCCAGGGATCTTAACTTCATCATGTGAAAACAAGAGTCCAACCTGGGTTTGCTGGATGCTTGTTCTTGCTTATCCACCAAATGGTGTTGGGCCGCTGCCAGGTGAAGTCGAAGGTACAACGTATATAGTAGTGGCCCTCACGGCAAATTCCAGGGTTGGGCAAAACATGCTGCTGTGAGACTGGGTTTGTATTTTTCGATGGGTATTTCTGAGTGTTTCTTCAAATGTGTCCATTCAGATCCCCTAAACCCTAACCATTCAGAACTCTCAGAACTACAAAGCAGTTGGAACCGACCCGGTCGGCCGAGATCGGTTTGGACCCATGGTGACCCGGTCGGCCGCACCATCGACCACCGGGTAACACCTGCTTATGACCCAGGGCAGAGATTGGCACCCCTTATGCTCCCACAAGCACCTTTTTTGAAGATCGCAGTACCAGTAAGTATGTGAAGTCACACGGGCTTGAGCAAAGTCATCTTGAAATGGTGTGCCCATGCAGTCTGGATTTTTGAAATGGTTTTGTAGGCAGGTTCTTGATGGTAACATCCTTATCATCCTTTTTGTTTGGGCCAGTTCTTGATGCTTTTGGCAGGTGCGATACGCTCTTTGTCTTCCAGAAGTGATGTTCAAAGGGCGGGATTGATTGCGCTGAGTGCGCGCGTGAGAGAAAATGCTTCTGCTTGAGAAGTTGCTGGATCGAATGATTTTCATGAGAAAAGGGTTTGCTTGAGACAGCATTGCAGTTGGACAAGATCAATTCCGTTCGGCACACATCCAGCTACACAGTTTGGGACTAGGAGTTCCTACAGCTACATCGCTTTTAGGGGCCCTCGATGGGATGATCCAAAGTACAAGTTAGCCCTTTCTGACAGCTACATGGCTGTGGGTAAACAGCAAAACGATTTGATGCTTGTTGAATCCTATTTGTCCAGATATCACTGGCATAGACCCCAGATGAAAAAAGGCTTCACTCACCTTTAAGGAGACTGAGCGCCTCAGGCAGTGCTTAGCAGTGTTGGAATGGCACACTGATTCTTCGCGTGCCAAATCTTTCGTCCTGGATTCTTTGCGTGAGTGTAGTCGACTCTGACCCGCTGACCGACCATGGCACCGTCGACGAGTTTCCGGGGGCCGGTTTCGCTAAAGTGCCAGTCTTTTCACCAACAGTGCAGCGGCGTGTGAGGACAACAGTAGCAGGTTTGCTGTTTGTATTTGTTTGGGAGTTGCTTTTGAGCTCAAGCGCTGGAGGCAAGGCTGCTTGGCATGATGTTGGAATGGCCCAATCAGATCCTGCTTCTTTGCTTTCCGACGCGTGCGCACGCCACACGTGCAGCATATCCTTCGTTGTTGCACCTTGCTGTTGCTGCTCTCGGTCCTCGGCGGTGATGAGACCAGCATGTTCAGATTAACCCGATGTGCCGACTAGAGAAGAACTTTGTCAGGGCACATACATACAGTAACATACATGTATATGTATATAGGTAAATGGACATATGTTCCCGAGGAACTGGCATGGTTTGCTTTAGTGACTCATGGTCTCCCAGAAACTTACTGACGTCACAAGGTGTTCACCTCCACACAGGTGAACTTTGCACAAATCATATGCGCAAAGTTCAGGTCACTTGTCATAAGAACAGAGAAACTAGAGAAACTAGTCAATGGAAGATTGCAAAAGAGCTACATCCATGAACCGACTCGATTTTTGAGCTTGTCCAGCTGATAAACAGTCGGTTGCTTGCAAATGCATCAGACTCATCGTGTTCCCACCCGCCTTTCAAGCATATGAAGACTGATATAGCAGTATGTATTTAGACTTTGACAGCAGGACAGATGACATGCCGCAATACCACTAGTTGCAGTTCACCTGCACCTGTATCTAACAATACATTTTGGCACGTTGAATCGAACCTATTATAGACTCTTATAGACCTTTGCCTGGAGTGTGCTGATGGAGGGTGGGTACGCAGCTTAGTGGAGTGATCCAACCCAAATCAATCGGGCTCAGTTCCTCCACTCTCAGGTATGCGTTGCCCAGGGCAAAGGTTCGAGGCGCCTTTTGTTTCTTGATCAACCTTGCATGCAAGGTGCCTGACTTGAGGATCCAACACGAGCTCTTTGACTTGAACAAACAACATCATTCATTAAATGATATTGTTTTTTTCATCCTCTTCACAATAGCGTTGGACCACTCCGCAGGCTCTGTTGCAGTTCATTCCTGGAGTGTCCCAGCAGCTTCTCCAGTGCCTTTCATGCACTGCTGCCTCCAGCTTCAGGAAAAAAAACCCTCACGTCGCGTCACGCACGTTGCAGCTGGTCGCTCGGAACGTGAGGCTCCGGTCAGTATGCTGCAAAGTCCCGTGCCAGTGGACCGCCGCTCTGGAGGCGAACAGAACTTTCAGATGACCAAACCTCTTGGGACAGATGACACCTCGCAAGTGAAGATGAGACCTCTTCTCCTTTTTTTTCCAGGGCAAGGAGAGGAGAGCTCAACAGGATTTTCTTGCAGTTTGGAGCTTTGGGCAGTGTGATTTTCTTTTGATGTCCCGGGCAGTTGCGCCTTGGCCTACCGCGGGGTCCTCGGAAGGCAAACACACAGATTTTTGGCCTTGTCAACTTGTTCTCCGTGCTTTGAGGCTTCGCGCTTGACGTTTACCCCGCCACCTCGGAGCTTTCCTTGGCCATGTGCAATGTCTCCGGTCGTGGTGAATGGCTTGGTAGCCTCTCTGGCAGTTTGAGCGGTTCCATTAAGCGAAAAACAAGGAAGCGCTTGCCATGACACGGTGAAGAAGAAACCATGTTTCCTTCTGCCAGGTGCACACATCTCCGTCTAGCAACGGCGAGGCCACGATCTGTACTCCATACATCATTTCGTATCACCAACTGAGTTTACTTGTTCTCCATACAGTCTTCGAACCAAGGCAGAATCACCTGCAGCAAGTTCCTTGACTCCCAGTCGACAGGTTTGTCACCAAGACAGATTTAGAGAGGGAGAGAGAGAGAGAGTGAGAGTGAGAGTGAGAGTGAGTAGTGGCTTCTTGTTCCTAGTAGCTATTTGCTCCTAGTAGTAATGCCCTTGTTCCTCGTAGCGATGCCCTTGTTCCTAGTAGCTTGAGAGTTGACTTAAAAGTTGAGTGGCTAAGCCAGAGAGTGTGACTGATCCCGACTAAGCCGTCAGGTCATTTGTGCCGTTCCGTCCAACATGGTCACCCGGAGCCCGCGGAGCCCGGGCTTTCATGCTCCTCTTGGTCCAAAGGCTGCCCTTCGAGGAGATGCCATTTCTGCATGCGTATTTTGTGTTTGCAACCATCGATTGGAAGCGGTCTGTGTTGAGATGCGGCCAAGTGGCTCAGGGTATTAAAATCCTTGTTCTGACATAAAAAGAATTAACAATACATGTGCATACTCCAAGTGCGGCAGAAGCTGTCAGACTTTGTCCAACACACGCAAGTCATTTGAGCAGCATTGCGGTCATGCCCGGACAATGTTCCGATGGAACCTCCAGCATTGTTCGGCCGGTCTCACTTCGCCGCTTGGATACAGTAGCTCCTTGAATTCAGGCTGTACTCCTGAGAGAGGCAGCTGAGAAAGAACCGGCTTTTCTTCGAAACTGGCACGTGTTCTTTTAGACGAACATCCCAGTCAGGCCAGGGAAATGTTGGCAGAACTGTAAAACTGTAGCTGTAGAACTAAGTCTCCTGCTAGCAAAGCAATTGAGCTACCCAAGTGGTAAGGAATCCCAGCTTGTTGAGCCAGCCAGCGTTTCACCTTATGTACAATCTTTTTTGAAGAGACTCTGTTTCGTTGAGTAACAGATTGTCGGATAGACAGTGCCAAGCAGGGTAGCCGAACTGATCCTCTTTCCTTTGGTTCTGCCCGTGTGCCAAGGTTGACACGCCGACGCCATTCGTGTCCTGCTGCCGCGTTTGTTTCATTCGGTTCCTGCGCTTTCAGCTCTGATAGTATGACAGGCTGTTTGCGAGGAGGTGCAGGAGCAGTTGCCTACCTCATGATACAACAGAAATAGTGCAAAGCAATTGTGTCGCGAGGTGCAAAAGCCAGCAGCAACGAATGCCCTGTGTGCATCTTAGAGTCTGAGGAGGAAGAGGAAGAGGGCATGATTTGACAAACATTTGCAGAGTTAGGTAAAAATAATATGCCCATCCGCACTGTGTCACCGACAAGAATCTGTGGTCACCTGCCACCATTTCAGTACGGTTTGTCATGTGGCACCCATGTGTTTCGGGGACACATCACGGAAATGGCAAAGGTACGTGCAGCATCCTGGGAAGCCTTTGCAGCCATCAGACAGACAGCTCGCGATGATGCCTATTTTGCAGGATGCGAGGCAAGGCAAGATGCATGTGTCGACTTGAGCTAATTATTTGCCTTGACTCAGACCCAGCTTCTGCGTGACTACCACAAGTGGCCAGAGCCTTAGCAACTCTTTGTGCTGAAGACTGCGAACGAAGCCACTTTATGAGGCGCCCTTCCACGCTGGCTGCCATTTGCATTCATTTCTCTCGCCTGCGGCCTTCAGAGCACAAGCCTACAGCCATGGCCTCAAGCCGGTCAAGCGGGGTTTTGAGGGCGATTTTTTAAACCAAACACTCTGGCGTTGGTGGAACATCTTGAAGTGGCACCGTGGGTCTAACGGTGTGGCTTTTCTGTGTAAAGAATTCAGGAGAAGTTTCTACAGCGCATCCTATGGAGTGCCGACCTCGATGCGGCTTTCTTTCCGTGTGATTTTCGCCACTAGGTAGGGTCACGAGGCCTTGGACTTCACCCTTGATCTATTGTGTAGATATACACTGTACTTAATGTACTGACATAGCAAAACTAAGTGTTGAATGTCCTTATCCCAAGTTGATGCTCATTTAAGGATAAAGAAAGTCATGAACTCCAAGATCGTCTCGCGGACGAGTCGGCTGGCTGTTTGGCCCAGGAGCTGATCGATTGATTTATGATCTTGCCGGTCGAGAACTCCTTTCTTTGCTCGAGGTGCAAGACTTTTCTTTTGCTCGAGGATGCTCGAGGTGTGTATTGGAATGGGGAGATCCCCAAAGAACCCACGAGAAACCATCACATAAAAGGACGCATGCAGACACTTACATGTGTCATTTCAACCTCAAGGCTCTTTTTTCCTGCAGATGTCCAGGTTTTCGCCCTCAGAGGCCTACGAGAGCATGATCCCAGGCCAATCGACTGAGAAAGGCAGTCCCAGGGCTGGTTAGGCCGAGGAACCCCCAGTAACTGAGGAAGTAATCACACTTTGGATTGCAAACAAATCCCCAGACGGTGAAACGCATGCACCAAAGGGGACGGATGGGGACGGATAGGGACGCAGGTCAAGCCACAGAAAGTGGACATGCCGGATATGAGCAAGGAACAGCGATTCCTTGTAAGAAACACCCAAAAGGACCGTACAAGCAACATGATGAGAAAAGGAACGGACAACAGGTGAGAAACTTGCACCATGGTTTGTCGATTTGCATTTCATTTCAGCTAGCATTCATCTTCCCAGCATTCTCCCGCGCCAATTCGGGTAGGTGAATCACAAAATGATACACCAAATCGCATCAGAAATCATCAGAAGGTGTAAACCGTAAACATGTGTAAACATTGTAAACTCTAAGTAGGTTTCCTGTTTTCAGTTGTTGTCTTGTTCTGGCAGCACCAGGCGTCCGGACTTGTTCATTGAGGCAGTTCCACGTCTTCAAAAGGAGGTGGGGTTCCCCATGTGAGCTTTGGGAGAGGTTCTGCGGAGCGGAACGTTCATTTCATTTCGACTCAGCGAGGTTTGGGACTTCGGACTGAGCGACGTGCGGTGTGGATCCTGAAGAGAAAAAAGCTGGAACGTAGCGACGTAGTACAAGAGTTTTCGACTGTCTAGATGTGAAACGCACAGCTCTCTTGAGCTTCGAACTTGGTTTTTAATCTTGTCAGCTACCAGGACATCAAATAACGATCTTGTGTGCGGGCAGTGATGCCATTGATCCTTTTTGTAAGGCGAATTGCAGCACTCTACAAGCAGTTGAACCTCCGCCATGTTCGATTGGCATGTGTTGAAGTCAACGAACTCCTCCAGTCGGCAGGTTACCATCCACTCCCGTCGGCATCGGCTTTCGGCCTCGGACGCAGGAAGGGCTCTTCGAGGCTCTGGGACAACGACTGGAGGAGTTGTTGGAGGTGCCGAACGACTGGAAGAGTCCATTCAACGCCTACCTCGTTACTTTCCCATTGCTATTGATACATACTGTACATCATAACTGTACTTTTTTACTAGTGAAGTGGACTTCAGGAGACTCGAACAAGCGTCCAAAAGCCTGATGCCAAGTTGGAAGATGCGAATGACAGAGCAACACTTGAAGAGAGCCTGCATGGAGGCAGAATACTCAACTTACAAGACAGAAGAGGGCTCCTGCAGGCTTGTTAACAACATCGAAGAGTCATTCTAATGTATTGCTGAAGCTTTTGACATCGGCAGGAACAGCTGCTTCAGCTGCTGTGATGACCTTCCTTGGAGCTTGTGGTCGGCTCAACATTGTACCACTCCAGGCTTGTTTTCGCGAATTTGCTGTCATCCTCGAATTGTCAAATGTCCCACCTCATCTGCAGTTTCTTTGGACACTTGCAGGCGCAGAATTTGCTGGAGGTGGTTGGGCCAACTGCTCGGGCCAAGAAGGACTTGCCACGCCTTGCAGCCTTTTGGGCTTCAGCTTAGGAAGAAAGACAGTGTGTTTCTACCATTATCTTTGACGATTGTGTCTCTTATGAACTTTAGTTTGCTTCTAAAAACCATCATTCTCACAAGTTTGTGCCTGCTTGTGTACCTGGCGCCAAGGCGCTGGCGCAGCTGGCCGCCAAGTTTGGCTGTGCCGACACAGGAGAAGTCCGTGCCTCAGCCATGAAGTGTTTTTCTTTTTTGATTAGTTTTTTTTACTTTTACTTTTAAGTTTTCCGATTATTTTTGGTTTGAATGGCTTGTTGCTCACTGAGGCCAACCGCATCCTGCTGTTTGTGAGTGCAGCCTTTGAAGAAGCAGTTCCAGATCTTCCGACTCGGAAAGGTTATGCATCTCAAGCGGTGTATGGCCAGCTATTGCTGGCTCTGATCTTTGATGAATCTCGATGTGAAATCCGAGACAGAACTTTGGTGGCTTCGGTGCAAGCCGTATTCGCAACGTTTGGTTCTGCACTGGATTCGCTGGATGAACGATTGGCACGACAACTGCAGGCTGGTGATAACTGCATTTGTCATAGTTAGTTGGTAGTTCCAATGACACAGCTTCTCAGCAGTTTGGATGATGAGTGACCCCGATCTGGCACAGGTGGTGGATCTGGCATGTCGGGTAGAGCGACCTGGCGTGCTCGAGATTTTGGAGACCAAGGGGCTGACTCCTTTCTTGGAAGGCTCTTGCTTTCATTCAACTTCAACCCATAGCATTTGCATGGGGTTGATATCCAAGCAACTGATGTAAGACTTCCAGCTTGACATGCCTTACAAGCAGGACAAACTTTTCAACGACACGTTTGACATGCAACTTGTTGCTACGACACTCGCCGGCAGCGAGGCGTGAAGAGCTTGGAGGAAATCCCTTCAGTACTGCCCAAGTGCTCATCACAACAGCATTTACAGGCCGGGCATCATTCGCAGGGATTTACACGCGGCATCGCCCAACAACTCCCCCCGTTGACTTGGAAGACTTGCGGCACTTGCCTTGGAAGACCCGCGTTGACTCGGTTCTTTCCAGGTCTCTGGAGTTCTTCAAGAGTTGGGCGTGAAACATCGAATGGAGGCGTTTGTTAGCGTTTCTTTATGGAAGAAGAATCGTCAAGTTTTCCGAAGAATCGTCGAGTCGAGTCTTCACTTTTTTTTTTCCGGTTGCAGGAGAAGCTACAACCCTACATAGCCGATGTTCGCTTAACGCGACGGCAGAGGCTTATAGAGATTGATGGCCTCTTGGCTTTGTGTAGGAATGATTAGGAATGGTTACCATGTTTTGTGGCGTTTCTCACCCCTTTCCTTGGCAAATCAGATGTAGACCAAGCATGCGGGTATCCATGGAGCTTGGAACTGCTTGCTCTCCATTCGCTACTTCTTCATGTAGACCTTTGCTAGGCACTAGCTGGGCAGTTAGCCATGCACTGCCCAGCTCTGTGACTCCAAGGACCCTTGCATTTTGTCGGTGGCTCCAAGCGCTACGACATGAAGACCTCGCTGAAGCATCGCTTGTTGACCAAGCAGGGTTGGGATGTACACCATATTGCATGGAATGTGCCTGGGACATTTAAGAATCATAGCAATCATATGCAGTCTATTTGTGCCAGTTGGTTTTAGCAGCCCGAGATGTCTGTACGAGCTCAGTCTCTCACATGTTGAACAAGGATTGGCCTGTGCAACATCATAGCAGACTGAACTACGTGGCTAGGCAGGCCATTCCGAGAAAGAGAAAGAGAGAGAGAGAGAGAGAGACACTCCCAAGCTGGGGGCGGGCACTGTTCTTTTTTCTATTCTGATGCAATCTAATCCACACTCACTTGATGCTGAAGCTACTAGTAACAAGGGCATCACTAGTAACTGATGCATTGTGTCCCTGGCTCACCCACGGGTCGTCCTGTGAGGCTCCTGAGAAGTTCCGCACCAGGCACACACCTGACCGAGTATCAGCAGCTTCCGCCTTGGTCTCCGGACTCTTCGGAGACCCAAGGGTCCGCGAGTGCTGGAGACCACCTTGCAATTGACAGCAGAAGACCATCACCTGAGTTGGTGGACTTGGAAGGATGACCATCGACAGGTGGAAGAAGGGATGAGTTCGTCGCTGATGGATGAGTCCTCAGTCGCCTTGGATGAGTCCTCGGACTGTCGCTGCCTGTAGAAGCATCGCAAGCCGACTCAATCGCTGCCTGGATATGGTGGATGATTTGCTTGGGCCTATCGCTCGCGGCTTCGATCGCGCCGAGACGACAGCCTCACCTGGAAGGACCGACGACCGACCATTTGGCCCCCGTCCGCCGCTGACGGGGCGGAACTTGGCGAGTGAATGCCGTGAAGCATCTCCGTGCCACGCGTGAACGCACCGTGGCCGTTTCTCGTTCGCGTGCGACAAAGAATGATCGGAGGGTTCTTTGGGACATCGGGCATGATTTGACATGCAACGTGTGGCACTTATACTTATACAAATTTGATGTGAGAGATGTGGACGAGCATGATTGGAGGAGCTCCTCCTCCCCAGCAACGTGAAGCGGAGGTGCCTTGTTACTCTTCCTTGAGACTCATTTTGGCGTTGCGAAGCCCAAAACCTGAGTTTCCGACGCAGGTACTGACTTCGTGGAGGCGAATTTGGGTTTGTTTGCAAACGAAGCGGACGGGCCTGAATCATACACATAGTCATCAAAACGTCCGTCTATTGAGTGCTTTCAAGGCAAACGGTGAGGACTAGTTCGCCAGCGGGGATGCCCAACCCAGCCCTTTTTTTCGAATTGAGAGGAGCATGTGCCAAAAATGGACGTGAAGACAAAGCAAGCTAAAGTGCCATACGCTGCACCCTGAGGCAGATAGTCCAGTTAGTCCCCAAGAGCTTCAGCGCCTGAAAAAGGGCCTGCAGGCGGTTTCAAAGCAACAGAAGTAGACGTGAGATCCAATGAATCGATCGGTGAGAGAGAAATCCGTCTCACAAATCTCCAAAATCCAAGTGACACTGGCACGGGCCACCGAGGACTTCATTTCATGTTGACACTTGATCAAACTGAGTTTGTCAGAGACTGTAATGCATGCCGCTGCCTGAGTCGCAGGCGCAAGGGAGTTCACCAGATTCCAGCTTCCATTTGGAGACTGTGCCTTGTCAGCAGCCTCTTCAAAAGCGAGGGGAATCGGACGACTCAGTGACTTTTCCAAGTAGTTGTTCTTGAGGTTTCGGCTCTTCCGGATGAGTCCAAATCGCGCAGAAGGTGGCAATACAGCACTGACGAGTCTGGTCCAAACAATTGGACTTTGATCTTCTTTTCTTGCGCAGATTTAGCGGTTCGTCATGGTTTGTCCTCCCACTGTGATCCCGAAAAACGAAGAAGAACGCTGTTCGAGTCCCGTGATGGGAGCGGAGGCCTGCGTTACGTTCTCACAATGCCTGCAGCACAGATCTTCAAAGCTGAGCTGACATGAGTAACTTGAGAGTGTTGAGGAAAGCGAGGACAAGAACAAGAACACGCACAGCAAAGAGGAGCGGCATTTGCGACCGCATCTGCTGCTCGGCTGGAATTGGGCCAGTGACATGCAATGAGGCCACCAATGTTGTTCGAAAATCTCGAAGGTGGATTGTTCATGATTGTGCAGGTACCAGAATTATCCCACTCGGGGTATATATGCGTGATGGACTTCGAATTTACATCAGTTGGAAGTTTGACTGCCGATACGAACAAACCGATGCTTTAAAGTCTCTGGCGAGTGTTTGCTTTTTGTGCGGTTCTGATACTGTGATCATGTTGTAATCAGCAGTCAGACTTGCTTGTGCTAAAGTCGAAGATGACTAGCTGCTAGCAAACAATCGGACCAGTGCGAATTGCGCGGTCTTTGCCAATGATTCAGCTCGTCGGACTCACAAAAGTGCACTTAGTCAGACTGGTCAGACATGCCAAGGGTTATCTTACATAGACTATCAGGATTGGCCTGCCTGCTTCCCTTGCAGCGAATACTGAAGGTCTTGCAGCCAAATGGACGAATGTGATGTTCAAACAATGACTTCAAGCCATTTAGACATGGAGTCGGTGACATTATTGAATCCATCCTGGAGCTAGAGTCCATTTTCTGAGGGGTTGAGATCATGTGGTGTAGACTGTGACACTACTCTGCGTGCATCAAAGAGTTTACTGCCGCAGTCGTCTCTGACGTTGATTCACTGATGTTGTGGCCACGGCAGGGTCAACTCACAGTTCTTGTTGCTAAAGTCACACAAAGGACGTCTATTCTTTGCACTACTGGCCTCCAACCTGCAGCCCAGGCTTAGTTTCCAAGTCTGACTGTGGGGCGACATCATCCTCATCTTCCCAGTTTAGCCTAATTGTTTACAGTACACATGTTTACGCCATCAATTGATTCAGGTCTTGGGATTCCTGTCGAGGTCTTGGGATTCAGGACCTACACCCCGCTTACCTGCAAGGAGGAAGGCAGCGCTTGTTATTTGCTTCTGTCATACAGATTGGACATATGCAGCTCTTAGTTTGGACGCCATTTTAAGAGGCAAGCGCAGCTCCTTTTTACCAGCCTCTATATGAACAATGCTTTGACACATGTGGTGTTGGAACTCCGTCAAGCATTGTTTGTATGTCAAACTGCGGCAGGCGCTTTATATATTTTAGATTTTATATGTCTCATTTCTCACACTTCCTCGTCGATCATTCTTCCGCGGTTGCCTTTGCCCGCTCTTTCGGCACTGGATAGACGGTCTGTGGACGCTTGCAGTGGGAAGTTTCTTTTCAGCTTCGCCTTGGCTATCTCAGGGTTCCCGATTTCTTCATCCAGCGCGGAGCAGCATCCTTTGAATCTGAGATGTGTGAGTATCCTTTCGATACTTCAACCTGGCCAATCCTTCAGTCAAAGAACTTTCAGCGTCGACTGCGATCTTCTGTGTTCTTGCTGGGCCAAGCTCTCCGGATGACGGATCTGGATCCCTATGCCTAGCTGGCAATGGGGACTGGCCAAGCTGGAGGTAGCTAGGTAGTGCCGTGCTTCTAGTCAGAAAGAGTGTTTTTTACAGCGATCATCCGCATCATCACATCATCCGGTAGATGTCTTTGGATTTGTGTACTCGGCTCAGGTGTTTCTTTTTCTCGTCATTTTGGACCCCTCTCTGCATGGCCGCCACCCTCAGCCTTGTTGCTTTGTCTTGCTTCCATGATTCATATTCAAGTAACATGTTTCACCAAACAAGCTTCAAAGATGGCTTGGGCACATGTAAAAAACTGTCAATGGACGAGATCTATTGGATTCTATTGGTAAGTTTTGGTTTTGAGGGTTGAGGTCATGTTCTGTATGTGTGTGTGTGTAACCCTTGGAATCATAGGGATCCTTTCGGATTGTTTTAGCTTCACAGTTGTTTTCCTTGTGCAGCAGGGGCGTGTGGCACTCTCGTCCTACCACACGCAATGAAGCTGTGGGCGAGAGTGGGAAGGGAAACTTGGCCAGTTTCCTGTACCTGCTGTGATAATTACTCCAATCTCCGGGCCCTGCTTGTACCTAAAACAAGAAATCCAGCCTTTGCACCGGTTTGCTCTCGGCAGTCACGCATAGGGCTTTGGTTTCGGACGACGTCACTCTGTCGCTCGGTCGTTCGACGGTTCCTTTAGAGTTGATGGCCACGCTGAACTTGATGGACCTCCACTTCCTTTTCAGGTTTCCTTACCTGTACTCTTAGGAATTGGTAACCTAGGCCGGCGTGTGGCACCGCTTTCAGTTCAGTACACCCTATCCTAAGTGTGTGATCAAGACTATGCCCCAGAACTTTGCTAGCAACAGAGAACTGGCCGACACAGTCAGAGTTATATGGTTGTATGAGTGGTTGTATGATTGGCATTGCAGGCATGTGTGGCTGTGGCGGGGTCAATTGCTCTTCCCGGTGCATGATACTGCAGACACGGGTTCCAACCTATTGAATAAAACATGAGTCAGTCACTGCCTTATGTGCACTGTAAGATCACTTATATACTGTAGTTGAAACACATACTGTAGGTCAATGAACTGAACTTGGTAGCGATTGGGCACTTTGGGGCCACAGTTTTTAAGTTCTTTGTAGGCCAAACCAGTGTTCCGAAGCAACATGTAACATGTTTATTTTAATGTATATAAATGACGCACTACGAACCATGCGGTAGCTGGCAGGCGCCTGGGAGAGACCTATACCGGGCAACTCTCATGACACAGGATGACACAGGAAAACTCTCCAACACTAATCACACCCCCAGCTCCACCGTTCACAGGTGACCCCTCGACCGTTTGCTTTTCTTGTGATAAACATATTATCGCTGAAAAACATCTTGGATGGAGGGAAGCCTTGGGGAACAATCTCCTCCAATGACTTTCATTCATCAACCAGGTGTGCACGCATGGCAAAGGCATGCTCATCCTACAGGCTGGTTTGAATCTCAACTGAAGTCGAATCACGAGGTGCGTTCAACATGGATGTAGTACCTGTCGCTAGTACCTGTCGCCTGATGGTTGTGCGACCATTTGCCAAGTTTAGCTCATGGTTTCCGATTTCAGCGTGTTTCGCGTCCTTTTTGTGCCTCATTCGCTGCAGAAGGTCTCAAGCATGAGTGTTTCGACTGTGTACGATGATGTTGTTGCCTCGGTTTTCGAAGAACACGACGCCACGGAAGATCCTTACTTCCTTGACGTAGATGGAAGCGAAGCATGTGAGGATGCACCAGCTGAGGATGGAGAGCCTGATGAGCAAGAAGAGCGACAGCCACAGAGGATCGAAGAAGCTCCTGAGGAGCAAGATGGTGAACACCACCAGGATAGAGAAGAAGAAGAAGCTTCGAACGAAGAAGAAAAAAAGATAGTAGCTTTAGCAAAGAAGCATCGACCAAGGGCCATCGTGAAGCATCGGCCCAAGCGTCGGCCCAAACGTCCTCGTGAAGCATCGGACGTTCAACTCTCGGAGGAAGAGACAGCTGTGGCCCTTCGGCGGCAGATCGAATACTACTTCAGCGACGAGAACCTGAAAAGAGATAGCTTTTTCCATGAAAAGATCTCCGCCAACGCAGAAGGTTGGCTCGATAGCTCCTGGATTTTGGGGTGTAAACGGGTGAAGAAATTGGGAGTGACAGCTGACAGTGAAATCGAAGCAGCGCTTCAGGAGTCTGAGTTGGAAACACAGTGGATATCTGGAGATGGTGATGAGAGCCCAAAGATGCTTCAGGTGCGGAGGGAGTTGGGGAAAGCATTACCAGAGTTGGGTCCTGTGCCTGTTCGTTGTCTCCGCCCTGGCTGGCTCGCCCAGAAGATTGAAGGGCAAAGGCAGAGCAAAGAAGTGGATGCTGCGGCTGCAATGGAATCTCATCCCGAACCCGCTCCGGTCAAAGTACCCGCGGTTGGTGAGCTGGTGAAACTCATTGCAGGAGAGCACTCAGGACAAGATGGTCAGGTGTTGGCAATCGATGGAGAGGAATTGACTCTTTTGGTTGGTGGTGCGGATGTGGTGATCGCATCGGTGCGTGAGATTCAGCAGAGCACCTGAAGGCGAGGTCGAGGCGACGGCAAAGTCCGCAGAGGCGAAGCGAGGAAGAGCACCGTTGGACCAAGTCTTCGTGCAGCAGTGAAGAAGTGCATTCATGATTCGATGGTTTGTGTAAGACGTGAAGGATTTGACGTGCCAAAGATTGCGCGTCATCCAAAGAAGGATACACCGTTTCCTCGGGGGAGTCAAAAAGAGGCAATGCTGGTTTGCTCTCGCCGCTCGTCTTCGAGCGCATCAGCGCCAATAGAACTTACGGAGAAAGAAAAGCCCCTGCCAAATAGATGCTTGTAGGCAACATCTACATCCTGTAGAATCTGAGAATGGCGAGCTGTGGACCTAGCAGAGTACATGTTCAACATACCCTTTGGTTGAAATCCTTCTTGGCTTCTGAGGCTTTGGGAGCTTGGAGAGAATGCAGTCGTTCTGGCCAGGCGCATGGATGGTGCAGCTTGTGCATGTTTTTATTTCCCCTAGCGCAACCCCGGGAAGGTCTGAATTATTTACCACAGCCAACACACAAAGGCTGCCAATTAAGACGCCTTCGGTTCTCCAAAATGAACTGCCCCGGTGTGCAGGCCACCTCTCCACGCAACAGCAACACCGTGCTTGAAGGCAGGGCTTGACTTCATGCGGGCCTTTTGCAACAGCTTCCTTTTGCCACATCTCTTCATACTCTCTTCATTCTCGAATTCATGAAGCCTCCTTGGGTATCCTTGGGCTAGATCTTTGGAGCACGGGTGTGACCAGGAGACCACGACGCTTGTACGGCAAGAGGGCCCAGAAGCGGCACGGATGAGACCCGAGTCGGCCGATGGCCTTCGGGCTCCGACCTCGAATGAGGTTCGTATGCAGTGCTGGAGAATGTGGGCAACTCTTGCTGGTGGCCGAGGTTCATGAAGTTCTTAAACCTTTCAATGGAGAAAAGGTTTACTTTCTTGAACGTCTCAGAACCAACACGTGGTGACGTTGTGATGTGAATTTGCGGACTTCCTACCGCAAGGCTGCGGGCTTCTCTGAAGTTTCACATAATTTGTCTCGTGCATTCCTGAGCAGCTTGACAGGAAGGCTTTTCTGTTTATATATGCATACATCGCCTTGTAGCATGTGGAGTATGCATTCAGACAGAACTTTGCAACAAGCCTTCTCAAGTGTAGCATGAGGTTCTCTAGTGATGGCCGGTTCTTCACTTCAGCAACAGCTGATGCAGAGACTTAGGCTACTAAATTGACAGAACTGATATGCCTCACCCAATCGCCTTGCCCTGGTTCATTCTTCAACATGTCAGGCCGTGGCTTTCTGAGGAGCGAGAGAGGGCGGTGTTGCAATGAACAAAGGCTTTGTTGCCCTTGAGTTTTCACTGGCAGGAGCATACTGGCCATCCTCCGGTCAATCTTGCAAGATGCTTGGGGATTGCAGCATCAATTGCTGTTTTCAAGTCACCACCAAGCTCCATCTTCCACGTGTTCAGGACTCCCACTTGGAGCTTTGGCGCTTCGGGTGCCAGCCTTGGAGAGACGAACAAGGTCGCGCGGTTCGTCCGGAGTGCGGTGGGGACCGAGGCGATGTGCGAAGGCGGTCCCCACGGCGACGAGGACTGAGACGTGGTCGTCTTGAAGACATGAACTGAGAAGAGTGAAACGCAGGAAGATGCCCACAGCCGTGATCTCGAGTTTTGAAGAGGAACTAATATGGATTTCAGATGATCTTCCTGGTGAGTCCAGGTAATGGTGCCGCTTAATCGAGCAGCTGGGGCAACTATTCATCTGAGAGGATGCGAGGCACCCAGCCAAACGAACACTCAGTCTGTCCAGAGATTTGGTGTCTCCCTACCCACCGCAGGCTTCAATGCCCTTGGTGGATGAACAAGGTGCAGCCATTTTGCCACATCGGCAACATTTGGAGGTCCGCTCATCCGAGTCGACCGATGTCGATGGAACGTTTGTGTTGCGCAAGGTTTCTGGCCCGGAGCAGGGCCTGCTTCACATGCTTTGCCTGTCTGTGAAGCGGGCTGCCGAGAATGGACAGGACAACTTGCATGTCCAGGAAGAGACGCAAGCCGCTCAAGCCCCTCACAAAGCCCAAAGTGGCAGTTGTCGAGCTCCAAGTTTACCCAGAGACGGTTGCTCAGCATTTGAAACATCATCCACTCTAATTATATAGTGTGCATTGTGACCTCTGCACACAAGCCGAGCATTCAGTGCAAGCAGAGAGCATACGTAGAAGATACACAAATGTGCAAAGAAGGCAAAATAAACTAGGAAACACTCCACGTCAAGGTCTTGGGGAGAGGATGGCTCGGACATTGACGAGTCAATCCTTATCAGCTCCATCCACCTGTCCAGTTCCACCTTCCCACAATCCAGGCAACTTGGCAGGAAACGCTTGGCAGGCTTGCCTGAGCTTTCACAGGTGGTGAAGCAATCTGGACTGAACTCTTCATAAACTCAGATGCAAGGTCCGATCTGCGGATTTGGTGCTCCACCTCCCATGTTCAAGCCTCAGGGTCTCACGGAAAGGGCATCGATCGATGCCTTTTGTTCTTGTGTCATTTTTGACTGGCAGGATTGCACCAGCTCCAGCTGTGATGGTGGACGCGCCGCCATTGGAGGACCAACGCAGAATTGAAAGCCTAGCCAAACCAGCAAACAAAGTTAAAGAGGACAGGCTTCTAGTGAGAGGAGAGGCTTGCGGCTTCAGTGGTTGACAATGGCTGACGGTTTGGGTCTATTACTTTGTTCAGGCATGGCCAGAAGATCCTTTCTGCCAGCTGGTACGGGCCTGAGCCAACGGGCCGGCGGAGCGGTCGGTGGAACAGATCGCTCCGGAGTTGAAGGAGAGCAAGCAGAGCAAGCGAGGTCCACCAGAGCAAACGCCCAAGGAAATTGGAGATTTGGTGGAACAAGACGCTACTAGGAACAACGGGCAACGCTACTGGGAGCAAGGACGCTACTAGTAGCTCCTGGCCTTGCTACTAGTAACAAGATGTAACAAGAAGCTACTAGGAACAAGGGCATCGCCACTAGTAACAAGGGCATTACTACTAGGAGCAAGAAACTGCCTAGGACATTGGAGATATGGTGGAGGCCTTTTGGGAACCGACCAAAGAGTGTCATACTCAGCAAGCGTCGGAGACGAAGAGGTCGGGTTGACCAGAGGTGGGCGACGGTCGAGTGGAGTCGGGTTGCGAGACCCAACTTTGATCGCTCGCTACACTGAGGTATTTCATGGCAAGAGCTTGGCACTTGGGAACTAAGCACGGTGTATCATGTGCCCCATGCGACCTGGCTTCCTTTTTGTATCTTGATTGCCCAAGAAGATCCAACAAACAGAGATCCAGCTCTACCACACTGCTACAAAAAAGCAATGCTTTGACCCACGACTGGTGTCATCCAGAGGTCGAATCGATTCATCCAGATGGTGACGTATCGGTGGCTTGGGAGGTGAATGTCTCAGACCTTGAAAGATGTTCATTTCAATTTGGTGCGCTCAGAATCCGCAACATCCGTGAGGAATGGGATGGCATTGTGACGCTGCCAGCCTCCCTTGTGCGTGCTCAACGCAGGACGTGGCACTAGATTGGCTTTGGTTGGCCGTGCAGGGAATGCTTGGGAAGCATCACAAGTTGACTCACCTTGTTCAGGACATCCATGCTTTGGGACAGCGTTGACTGACGGAAAAAGGCATTTCTTTAGATAGATTAGGTAGAATTTGTTACGTGCATTCTTGATATTTCTTGACCAATGTCTTGATTCTTGTCACACTCTTTTTTACCGCAGCTGGACCGAGCCTGAGACACACCGCGCAGCCGCGCGTGTGTGGCTGCCTGCCTTGCAAGGCTACAATGTAGCATTCAGCCACATCGTTTAGTTTTAGCACCGTTCATAGGTAGTGAGAGAAGCATGGACGATATTGCCTGAGAGCGACGCTCCAGATTCATATGATGTTTTTCGACAGTGTGACAATTTGACCTTCTTGCATGGTTAAAGTTCTTTGATAAAAGGAAACACACAAGACAGCTGCTACCGGCTGCTACCTTTTGTGTTGGTTCTTTCTTCTTTAGACTGACCTTCTGCAAGATCGCAGGCAGTGCAGCTGCCATGCCGGAGGATGATCAAGTGTTCCAGGACTGCTTGGATGGGATAGTTTGATCATGTTTGATCAAAAGAGCTTCACAGCTTCGCTGAACTTGTTGACATATTTCTACAGCCAGCAGTGCATCTCTTGGAAGACGATGTACGCCTGCATGTGGTGTGTTATGCCATCGTGCAAGGCTACGATGGCTGCCGTGAAGCGGCACTTCGATGCGGAGGAATTTGAACAAGCACTGCCACTGGTGACTCAGGTGAGGTTGACGAAGGTCACGACTCGCGACGACTCGCGCCACGGCTCACTGTTCGCATTGCTGTTCGCATCACGGCGCTGGATGGCATTTGCAAACGATATGTCGGTCCATTTTGATCCATCTACACTCCTTGTTGGTGTGACAAGGCTATGGTCTTTCGACTCGGAAGTTTTGACACAAGCCGAGTAATGAAGAGTAATGGTACATGTCAGGGATCAGTGCAGCGCGACCGCGAAGTTCTTTTGTTCATTTGTCACGAAAGCTAGCACCAGCTAGCTGGAGTTGTTCTTGCTTGAGCAAGTGAGGGGCTGGAATCCTCGAGAGCGCTGCATCGCATGAAAACTTCATATGTAAGGTGGGCCCCCACCCCCCCCCGGGTTCAACTCCTCCCTGGGACGTCTCTGGGACGTGTGTATGTCCGCTGGCAGGGGGCTGACTGTTCCTGTGGCGGCAGGATTTGGACCCCTTTCTCGGTCGGATATCCCCCGCTTCACCCCTGCCCTGCTAGCTTTCATCACCAACCCTCGGCCTCAAGTTTTCTTTTTTAATTTAGATAGCATTAAATGAGATAAATTTAGTGTGTATATAATATATGTTGCAAGCACGACGACATCCTTCTCCAAATACCCCATGTTGTACTTTCCTGGAGCCAAGCACCGGGATCGTCCTTCGTTGCGCTCGAGGCTTATAAAGCAAAGCCAGAACATCCACTGGTCGTCAGGACAGCCGACCTGGCCGCAGACAGGTGAAGTCGGTCCCTAGGCCCTAGTCCTTTTGGTTCGACCCAGGAGCTACATTTTCACGCTGGTCAATGTCTCGCAGTGGGACAACGTCTTGAAGGCGCTAGATTAGATGGTGCGAACAAAACCATCCTTAATTTTTCTTGCAGAGCTCTGATGTGATGGCACAGTAGGCATCAGCTTGGTCTTTGTTGAGACAACTCTTGGAAGATGCTTGAGACTTGAGACAATTTCTCAAGCCACGACTCCGTGGAAGGCCTGTAAAAAGCATGAAGACATCGAGGTGCGACATGACGACACTTACCTCATTGCAACTGATCCAGCTTGATGCATCAGGACCTTGACTTCGAACACGCCTACAGCTTGTGCTTCCACTCATTCCGAACACTTGTGAAGACTTTGCCAGACCCCAAACACATTGAACATTCCTGCAACTGATCGTAATTCCCAGGTATCGATTGAATCGCTTCAAGGAAGCACTGGATGTTTTGGACTTGAGGAGCTATAAACGGGGCAGTGTGTTAAACAGCCTTTGGAAGTGTTGGGAAAATCGTGAGCTCTTGCATGACTGCATTGCAATTGACAGCGATGAAAAGCATAACATGCCCCCGAATAGTGGAGTGGGAAAACGACCCTGGCAGGAAGAGCAAAGATCCCGAGGAAATAGCTCGCAGATCCCGACTGGAAGCTCAGGCCAGCGGAATTATGGACATGTGCTTCTTTAAAACAAACATCAAGAACGGAAAGAGAGGACATAGGTGATTCTAAAGTGGGCATGTGCAACTTGGGCAGTGACTTGATACCTTTAGCGACTCCTGCGTAAAGACATTTGCACTTGCATTGCAGTGAGAGTGTCGCGAATGCCTGTCAGATTCAGTATAGATTGTCGAGCTATGATTCGTGCCAGGGTCTTACTGTAGATTCTTTCACCTGGCAACACTGAAGAGTGGCCTCATCTGAGGTGCAGATGTCTATGGACAACTTCACAAAGACGATCCTGAGGACACCAGGGTGGCTTCACAAAGGCATCGAATGCACTGGTGATTCAGCTGACTAAGTTGACTTCCCTCGAGGATAACGGTCTTCTTGTGAACGCCGTTGCTGCCCATGTCGCTGGTGAGCAGTCACGGAAGGCGTCCCGAAGCCCAGCATTGGCAAATCCAAGAACATGCATGCTGCTCAGGCAATGGCTCTCGTGTCCAAAAACAAGGCCAAAGTTTTTCAAGCACAGAACGTGATTTGATTTGCACAAAACAATTTTCACGAAAGCTAGCGAAGCTAGCTGGAGTTACTCTTGCGATAGCAAGGTTTCTTTCGACCGGGTGCAAATCCTAACCCCTGATTTTTCAGGTCGAAGACCCCCCCCCACCCCCTCCTCTCCTCCCCTCTCCCCACCTCCCCTCTCCCCACCTCCCCCGCTCTCCTCCTCCTTGTCTTCCTCCCATCTTCCCTCCCTCCCTCCTCCCTCCTCCCTCTTCGCAAGTTCGACTCCGTCCTGTCGTCGCTCTTTGGCATGCGGTTAGCGTTGCGTATCTTGCGGCCGCACTCGCTCACTCTCACTCTCACTCTCTCACTGTCTCACTGTCTCACTGTCTCTCTCATCTCTCTCATCTCTCTCATCTCTTTCTCATCTCTCTCATCTCTCTCTCCTCTCTCTCTCTCTCTCTCCTCTCTGTCTCTCGTCTTTCCGTCTCTCTTCTCTCTCTTCTCTCGCAGGAGGATCCGGGCAAAGAGCCACATATAAAGGACTCTTCACCCCTGCCTCCAAAAAGAGCGCCGTGTTTTTTCCTACCTCGCTGCCCTCCACTTTCCCATTCTGGAGCGCTAGCTTTCGCCCCCCCCTTGGCCTCAAGTCAACATGGGGTCTACAGAAGGTTGCTTCGCAATTCCGATTCCTTACAGTGGCTGGTCTTCTCATGTTGCTGAAAAGTTTTGTGTGTTGCATCTACTTCGATGTAAGACTCGATTATATTCAGTAGATGTATTAAAAAACAAGCTGATGTCTATGTTTCAACGCACAACATGGGTTCTTGGTTCTAGCGATTCTAGTTCAATTGGATGCCTTTGAACCACTTTCTGTCCACTTTAGTGCTTATTTCATGCACTTTGTCAAATGTATGTCGGTGATGTCTTGACCGAACACTTGTTTTAGACATGTATGCTTCAAAAAAGCAGGGCGCTACAGTTGTTTTAGCACTTTCCCTTTTTTTCAGCGGATCTAAGTTCAGAAAATCCGGAGGAAGCCTTGGAATCTTCCTACGAGTTGTGCTTCAATGCAGCTTGTGCTTTGATTGACGAGGGCCGCCTCAAAGAGGCTGAGGTCGGGAGGCTGAGGTTGTTTGAACGAACAAAGGAATCTCCTAGGTGAACATCCGTTCACTCAGCTATACATATATATATATATAGATAGAGAGAACTACTCTTATTATGTAAGAAGCGTATGTTCACGTCTTTTCACTGTGTCGTTGCTTATTGCTCACTTACAGCATGTTAACAAGACAGCTCACAAGAATAATCTGCAAATGTTGCTTCTCCCCTTGAAAGTGACCCTGTGGGAGGCTCATCTGGCTCGAGCCAAAGAGCTTTGCACCGAGGAGCTGGTCGAGGCCCTGCAGTGAAAGAAAGCGCATTATGTGCTTCGACATGCTTTGACATAATTCGCCGTGACTGAAAGCAATTTCTGAATAGTAGTCTACAGCAAAAGCTTACCACAAAATTTTGGAGTGTACAATTGTGTTGTGTTGATTTGGCGACCCCGGGAAATGAAGCCATGCTAAATGATCAAAATGTGAAATTCGGGATATGTTTGAATTGTACTTGTACAGTATGGCCCCACTAACAAGTTCCCAAAGCTTCACCCCACTCCCCTGGCAGCTTCACATTATTCTTTGGTGGCAGGCTGAAGATGCGGCAGAGGCAGATGCAGGTTTGCTGGAGGAGAAGAAGCTTTCAACCTAGTCTTTTTCATGCTTGTTATGCTGGACTGAATGGAGATGGAGCACTGAATAGGCCGAGGAATACCAATAATATTAAAGCTAAGCCGGGCAGTGTTTCGCGCACAGAGCTCTTCGTAGGACCATGAAGAGCTAGCGGCAATCCGTGTGCAACAAGCGTGGGGAGCTTGCTAGGTTCATTTAACCTGGAAGACCAGGGGTGGCCAATGCCCTTGTTTCGATTTGACAACATCGAGGTGTGTCTTGCAACGATTTGGTAAAGAGGATGACGCCAAAGAGCTGTGCGCTGCCGGATGTGTTGCCGAAGCTGTCCGAAGCTGATCATTGCCTTTAGATCTGTGACAAATCCGCGTTCACCCAGAGCGACAAAGTGTCCAGGTACGACAAAGTCCTGCGGCAAAAGCCTACACAGGGACATGAGGCCAAAGACTTTGGTTCACATCATGGCTTATCACGGCATCCAATCTCCGCACCTGGCATATCACTTGATTGATGTCACACACGTGGCAGATTGATGTCACTGTGCTGGCCGTGGCCTGCAACAATGTGGTGGCTTTGCGCCGCTCAAAAAGGAACAGATGTTTGGAATGCTATATCATCTCATTGTTTTTCAGCCAAGGTTCGGAGGGCAAGTCTTTGTTCGACAGCCTGAAGCGCATCAATGTGGCATCCAAGGTGCTAATAGATTCCCCGTTCTACTTGGTGCGAACCTGTTTCAACATCACAAGCCCATGCAGACAGACCGAACACGTTTCCTGGGCAGGTGGGCAGGGGGTGTTGACCATTTTCTTGATGTATGGAACGAAGGGGTCCAACAAACATGATAGGGGTGGAAAAGCTGAGTTGCAACGCAGTCACAGTCAGTGTACATCGGTGTTTTTGGAACACTTGGTTGAGAAACGAGATGTTGATACAGCACCATCAACATCAAAACCCTTCCCAGTCAATGATGGAATGGAAAGGTGACAGAGATGAATAATGTTGGGACTAGGTGAAAGTGTGATTCACAACGCATTACATAGTATGTTTTATATAGTTGGATAAGAACTGATTGTTCACACAACCCGAAACAAGCCCGCGAGGCGTTTCCTTCTTTCTTCTTCATTGTTTGTGTTGGTTGCTTTCCACGCCACCAATGACGCTGGCAGGAAAGCCTTGAGCATAAGCTCACCCGCAGACAAATGGTTGACATTGCCTGCAACAAGATCCTTCTATTGTTGCAGGCCAGCCGTACAGCTGCCATAATGCCACGCTAGTTGCCTGTGCAGCCGTGCCACATGCCTGTCAGTTCTACAGTTTTGAGAGCCCCGAGGGGACTCCGTTCCACGTGGTCCGTTTTGGGCGTCCATTTTGACGTGTCGAGGCACAGAAACTGGATGTTGCCAAGAAAGACCTGGAGAAGCTCCGTTTGGGTCCCAAAGGTCTCGTGAGGTGTAGGTGTAGGACTTCAACTCAGTTCAGAACATGCGGCGTACAGTACACCTGAGGCCAAAGCTACCCTGACCACCCTCGAGTTGCATTGGTGCAGGTCGGTTCTTCTTCTTTTGGCTGCATGAATCGGGCCAGGGTTCATAGGTGATTCTTTTTGATGACAGGCGGCTATAGCTCACAGGGAGAAGAAGAATAAAGTTTGTACGTCGCCCAGATGTACACGCGCTAAACAGCGAACATCAGATCTGGGCAACGTTCCGTTTGGCCCAAGTGAGGTGAGGAAGTGCTCCAAACTTACTTGGCATCGCGCCCTGATGATGCGCAGGCCACCTTTAGCAGCCTATCAGTCAGGCATGACATGATAGAACCCTTTTCAGCACCATAACCAACGGAGAATGGACCAATAAAAGGACTAAATACGCTCGGCACCCTGCTCTTTCCCTCTTGTCTTGTGATGCTGCACACCAGTCAAAGCTACTCCAGCCATTTGGTCACCATTTGATGTGACAGTTGATCGACAACATTTAATAACCATTTGTCAGGTCCTTCTCCCCTTGGCGCAGCTCTATACGCAACAGCACCGACATGAGGCAGCCGTTGAGGCAGGTCGGAGTCATGGCAGGTATGGTGAAGGTCATGCACGTGTGCACCGCGTGGTGTCAAAAAAACACAAGCAATTCCAGCAGAGATACTGGCAGGCAGCTTTCCCATGAAGTCAACCTTCCAGTGTCTCAAACATTTTAATATATAATTTATATAATTAGACTGCAGTCTCAAACAGACATTTGTGGGGTGTCAAAGAGACTGCAGCCCGCTAGAGCGTGAGAGCATTCCCAATCTGAGCGCGTACATCCCAACAAATGGTTGGGTACTGGACTCATGCAGAGCGTTTTACGTTCTGCGCAAACTGAAAAGGCATTGGCCAAGTTGCCCCTCGGCAGCTGGAAGCTGAGTTTCAGCTGGCTGAGAGGTTTCAGCTTGAACTCATGACAGGGAGAGTGGGAGAGGAACTGGAGAGATGCAGTGCATGAGCAGTGCATGAGCAGTGCATGCTCGAGGTCGGACACAGCCGACCACCGTAGAAGCCATTGTGAGTCTCCACAACAGGCTCTGTGGGCTCGGAGAGTGCCAGGACTGCCGACCTGGTTTTAAAGTAGATGGCACAAGTTGCCCCAAGTTGGGTGGTTTAAATGATTTCAAATGGACCCCCATCGAAAAAAACATCTTGGGGTGCGAGTGCAATTTAGTGCCATCTGAACCCACGGTAAATTCGACAATTTGGAAGAGCTTCATGCTGCGTGAAGGCAAAAAAAACCAGACAAAGCCGTGGCCTGCTTGCGCGAAGTCCCCGTCTCAGCTCTTGCGCTGATTGAAATCAAGCTACTAGTAACAAGGCACCTTACTACTAGTAGCAAGAAGCCACTAGTAGCTCCTGGCACTACTACTTGTAGCAAGAAGCTACTAGTAGCAAGAAGCCACTAGTAGCTCCTGGCATTACCACTAGTAGCAAGAAGCTGCTAGTAGCTCCTGGCATTTTTACTAGTAGCAAGAAGCTACTAGTAACAAGGGCAATCGCTACTAGTAACAAGGGCATTTCTGTAAATGCCTTTTGAAGGCGATCCAGTACTGGTCCAAGAATGAGGAGGATTCTGACACCCTCGGACAGGTCCTGCACCCGCAACTGTGCATTTGGCATACCCTGGCAGCAAGAGCTAGTGTTTTGACACGAAGTCGTGCCATTTCATGCCATGGCTGCGGATTCAGATCTTGCCTGACACGGAAGGTGCTGCGGATCGCTGCACGTGTGGCAATGCAGATCAAGGACAGAGGCTTTGCTGCTGAGGCGAGAAGCGCTCCCGCCATGGTCAAGGAAGTGATTGTGTCTATTTACTTCTTGTTTCTCATAGCTTCTTGTTACTACTAGTAAGGCACTTGTTACTAGAAGCGATGCACTTGTTACTAGTAGCGATGCATAAGAATTTAATTAGAATTGTAATTACTAGCTTCTTGTTACTACCAGTAAGGCACTTGTTACTACTAGCGATGCACTTGTTCCTACTATTTTTCTTTCTTTCTTGAGTAATTATTTTCAGAAAGGAGTGGGTACAAAGATTTGATTGGACACATACAGCAGCAGATTGGGTTGTGGCCTTCCCTCACAAATTGAATTTGTCTTAAATTCTCTGGCTCGAGGGTCAGTTTGATCCTTCAGCCACAGCCTAGTAGCCTCGTTTAGAAGCTCAAGCGACTGCATCTCAACACACCTTTTCGCAGATCTGTCAATCCAAACACTATATCTGAAAACTGTTGGACACTTCTGCGGGCAAAGCTTGAACAGAAAAGCCCGTAGTTGTTGGATGTTGTTGGACTCTCTTCAGATTGATGCAACCTTTGAAACCTTTGACATTAGCCATGGGAAGAGCCAAGAACGCTTTAGCACATCTGTGGCCCGACGCTTGAAGTGGAGAGAGCATCATCGGATGCATTTCCAAGATGACTTGGATGACGCTCGGATATGAGACATGTACTGTATATTTGTTCCGCACAAGAGAATTATGAACAGTCAGCTGTATGGCTGTATGGTCCTCAGTGACGGTCTGTACAAAGGTTTTGTTTTTGTATGTTTCTGTGTTCCTTTCTGTGGAGGGCTGCTTGGCAGTCTTTGTGGGACTCTTTCATGGAAATACATGGAATATCTTGCTTTTCTTGAAGCTTGCCTTTGCAAGTTGCAAAGTCAGGACTCGAGCTTCCAGAGCAGCGATTGGACCTCTGATAGGCTGGAACCTCAGATTGGAGCTATATGTGGCAAGCAGTGCCAAGCAGCTGAGGTTTGATTGGACACAGACGCCATCCTTTGGACCAGAAGATGTGCATGTCTCACTACCTTTGGAGGATGAGCTTTTCCAGTCATGTGTGGAAGAGCAGCAAGCTGTTACCATCCCCGTGCACACCGGGATGGAAGCCAACATGGATGGAGCAGGCAGAGGAGAAGCGAACGACTCGCCTGTCGCTTTCAGCCCCGAGCTTCTGCAAGATGTGAACGACTCGCCAAAGTGCGACTCCCTCAAGAGCACTGAGAAGGCCTGCTGACAGGTTTCAGTGCACTTGAGCAGTAAGTAAAGTAGTATTGGCATGTCTTGGTCTTGTATCTTGTAAGTAGTGTAAGAAAGTAAAGCATCCTGGCTGGGAAGATATTCAAGGTCGAAGACCTACTAGCAAGGGGCGACTTCCTTATTGATCTTCATTGCAGGCCTCTCCATCTGCTTCTCAGAGCAGAACATCGACCTCAAAGCGCATTCCCACACCTCCTGCACTAAGCCTCGCAGAGGCCGAGCACGTGGGCATCGTGCGGCCACGATCCTTGCGAGTGCCCGGCTGCTCGGTTCTGAAGTCCTCTGGCTTGAGACGACGGGGCCGCCTTTGTGTCCATGGGCCTGGCGTTCGTGGTGCCCAGCGACGAGAGGACGAGTCGACGAGGAGTCCGAGGACGTCTCCATCGCCGGAGCGGAGAACCACTGGTCCGAGTGAGGCCTCCAAGCCGAATCTTCGACAGATTCCAAAGGCCAAGAGTGGCTCACAGCAACCACCAAAGACGCCAGAAGTGTCCAGTGTGAGGGTCTTGGCGCAAAGCTTCTCATCTGAGTTTCTTGCCGTTCTTCGGAAAGCTGAGGACTATCGTCTTCCTACACAGTCCTGGATGGCAAGGCTTGGACGCAAGCAACTGTTCCAACCCTTAAAAAGAATAAAGCATCATTTGGAATCTTGGATTCCGCACACAAAGCACCATACTGTAGAATGATCTATAGAATGCGGTGAACGTGGGAAGTCAAGGGAACAGTGCTGGCGCTGGAGCAGGATCCCTTCCGAAACCACGCTGGAGCAGAGGCGCCAGGATCGGCATCGCATCGCCCGAGCCTCATTTGCAAGCTGCAGAGCCGGAGCCTCACCATGAGGAAGACTTCCCCCAACAAAGACAGCAGGGAGGTCACGTAACACCAAGTAACTCTTCGTTACATGGGTCTGGGCATACAGGGTCGATCTACGAAGGTCACAGACGTTGATTTTATATGATTTTACCTCTAAAACTAGTACTTGTAACAAGGACGCTAATAGGTGGAGGCCATCACAAGTAGGTTGGAGGCCATCGCTCTTGGGAACAAGAAGCTAGTAACAAAGGTTTCCAGACGCATTTCCACCACGGATTCTTCGCCGTGGTCGTTGCGGGGCTCCGCCACGTCGGTCGTGAAGACGGCACAGGTCGTCGCGCAGCAAACTACCCCGCTGGCGTTGGCGCCCCATCACCTGGATGTGTGACATGGGTTGATCTGGCGTTTTTGTCTTTTGGTCCAAGGACGGTCCGAGCGGCCTTCAAAGGCAAAAGCTTGCTGGAAGAGAGGCATTGACAAACAAAAGCAACAGCTTGGATCCACAGGTTCATTTTAGGGTCAATCTAGTGCAATAATAGATTCTCCCCAGGCCCTAAGCCTTGTCCTTTTCAAAGCTAAAGCAAAACTGGTTCGGATAACAGCCTTTGCAGATTCAGCAGGTGGATCGGGAACTTGGATGACTCAGAAGCCGATACTGTGGGGGTCCTCGATCGAACTGGCACCAGAGTGATGAAAAGCCTGGAATCGATTAGCGTCATGGGTGGATGAAAAAGGGACGAGTGCATGTTCGGATCCAGGAGATGAGTTTACCAGCTGCTGGGATCTCAGAAATAACATGATAAATTAATTGCGTTCTGGTGCGCTCTTGAGGTGTTTGGATTGTTGGGAGCGTTTGGAAAATGAACTTGTAGTATGCGATTTTCGATCCAACATGCCAAGCGGCAGATTTATTCTAAAGATCTTCCCGTAGTCCAGAAGACCTGATTCTGCCTAAAGACAACAAGAGGGTGCTGTCCAAAGAAGAACAGAGAGTATAACAATATCGATATATATATATATACTGTATATATATATATTATACATATATATATATATATTATATATTATACATATATATATATTATATATTATACATATATATATATTATATTATATATATATACATATATATTCAGAATAACGATATTCTGGTAGGCCTTTGGTGCTTCTAGTGCAGCTCGAATGCTTCGAAAGCCATTGAAAACCGGGTCGCTGGGCCGTCACCCCGCCCTAGGTCCTTGCATGGTTCAGACGCACCGAGATCTACAAGCACACGGTGTGCATGGCATGACCCTGTTACTGACTTTACTGTACCACCTCAAACCGTTCTCGAGAGTCTTCTTTCCTCGGACGTTTTGCGAGCTTCTTGCGAGCTTCTTCCCTTGTTTTGCTGCCAGCTCCTGACGGATGCAGAAGTTGCATCCTCAAGAAACCAGCAGAACATGCAGGAAGTGGCGTTTTCTTGCAAGTATATATATATATACAGTAATTACCTTTCTTGAGGTTGTGGACTACATTCAGCAGATGCTCTCTGGACGGAGGGTGCCATATAAGTGTTCGACGAAACGTGCTTTATTTTCTTTGCACATCTTAAACAACGCACAAATAGAAGAACGGATCTGCAATCAGCTTGTCATTGTGTGGGAAGGTTGCTGCCATTGTCAGTGTTGCCAATCGCCGCAGCAACGCCATCAGCCCGGTGCAGTTTCAGGCGAAAACAACCGCACCGAAAAAGACAGGTGATGGACAGAAGCATCAGAACCCCCATGAAACGAGACATGTGGAGTCCAGTAGTTGTTTTTGCCTCCATGTGTTTGGAAACACATTGGGGCCAGGTCCGGCCTCTGGGGATTTCGCTTGGTGTGAAGTCTGAGACATGCTTTGCTTCCTTGGAGGCCCTGGTCCACTGGATCGCTCAACACAAGGCGCGAGAAGCTGCTCGCTCGCTCGGTCCGTACGACTCACCCGGCGAGCATGTGCGTCGATGCGCCGGTTGCGCGGGCTTTGGGTGGCCAAGGGGATCACCTTCTCCGAATGCATCTCCAAGTTAGTGAATCACAGAGGTGCCCAGAGGACAGGAGACGGGCCGAGAAGTGGGAGATCTCAGAGGGCTGGGAGTGGAGGCTCTGATTTTCCACCTTGACGCGCGTATTGGAGTAGGGTAGGAATCTGGAGTTTGTAAGGCCCCCTCCATACTACCTAAAACTGAGTGACCCTCTGTTTTGGAGCTAAAGCAGTTCTTTTGCCAATCAAAACAGAGGTCAAATAGGTTCTAATGTTTTATATTCTAACGCTCAAATTAACTTAACTCCCAGCCCTTCCCTCACGCCAAGTCTTTTAGTCATGGGCGTGGCAAGCTTGCCAGGACACGACTAGAGCATTACTTTGCTGAGTTCGCGCACGGCTCGTCCTGCGGTTCTCAACTTACAGGGTGTTTTCCTGGTTCCTTTCTTTTGATGTGTTTCTTTTCCTTGAGAAACTCAACATCAAGAAGTCGGCACATTCTTCCGCTTGTCCCCTTCAGATCCATTCAGGCTTCATGACGGTCTACGAGTTCACTCGCTTTTGCAAAGTCTTCGGGCTCTTTAAGCTAACGCCTGGAAGGCCTCACAGACTTCGTTTCTTCCGCGAGAAGAAACGCAGTGGAGTTCGAGTCCGTGGACCGTGACAGCCTCGAGTCCGCGTGAGGTTTGTGGAGGGTGACGTGCAGTTCTTGTTCACCGTGAGTCGATGGCTCAGAGCCTCGCGGTCCTGGGATTTGGTGGGGACCTCGCGGGTGTCGTGTGGAGGTGGTGAAGGAAAGGCTGTTGACTTGGAGGGCTTCAGGCGAGTTCTTGGCCAGGCCAGGGTGCGGAGTGAGGAACATTGACCCTCAAGAGGCGTCGACTCATTGCCAGGTCGCCAATCGGATAGACTTGCCACTACAGGCGATGGGTTTAGGGCTGCAGATTCTCCAGGTTGAGATTTTGCGACAAGTTTGGAAGCACTCAAAATCCTTAGGGTGGCATTGTTGTCACGGGTTAAAAGGTCGCTTTGCATTACCCTTATCCATGTAAGGTCTTGTGAGGTTTTTTGTGTAAGAAGTTGTGGTGTTTTCTTCAGGACCTACTTCATTTGCTTGGGGAAAAGGAAGCAGAAAGGACATTTCAGCTAGGCCAGCAAGTCCAAATAAAGCATGAACCAGTTTGAGCAAATTGTTAGAAGAAAGCCCATCCTCTTACTTGCGAGCGTGCCAGGCAAATAATTCTCGAGGATCCTCTCTGAGAGAGGATGAGTTGTTCCAAAGTGAACCAATGAACATAGCTACAACATCAAGGCTTTGACAATCAACACCCATCTCACAGCTTGGATCATGGGGTTTCTTTCTACTCAATTCTACTCATACTCGCTCAAAGCCTGGATGAGCCACTGCCGCCCAACGCGCCCAAAAGCAGAGTGATCATTTTGAGACGATGCCACTCCAGTCGTGGCCACTCACTCATGACCTGACTGGAGGTCTATCAAAGCTTTCTTGAGAACATCGATGGATCAGATTACGAAGCTTTGTGTGGCCTCGTGCAGGCAGGCATGAGACGTGCATTGAGACGACAGACGATGGACTTTCCTTTGATCATTCCTTTGCAGTGCACGACTGTGAGGCCTTGTCGGTGACAGACCCGGAACGAGGAAGAGAGTGCACTGGCGGCATATTTTTCTTGAAGACTGGAACCTCTGAGTAAACACTAGGGTGATGTGCCATGATGATGATGATGATGATGATGATCATCATCATCATCATCATCATCATCAGTCAGGGTGTCATTCAGCGCCTTTTTGCAGGTATGCTGAAAGACTCCAGGTTCCTTCCTTTGATCATCTTGATCCGGAGGAGAGTCGGCTGCGCTCTTCAACTCTTGGCAACATGTGCTGTCGGGAAGCTTGTAGCGCATGCTTCAGGAGCTGGAAGCCCAAGCAATTCCCAAGGTTGGAGCAATGTGTCTCATCTGGAAGACCCAAATCGTTGGAGCGACAGCTGTAAACCTCTTTGAAGGTGTGGGTTTGAAAGGTTGACCGTCGACAGTCATGTGTTTGATGTGTTTTGAGGTTCTCTCAGCGGAGACGCGACAGAGATGAAGAGGCTTCCAACTCAAACTGTCGGAGAGATGTACACATTACACATCCATTTGGATCATCTAGTGACCTAAGCAAATTTACAACCCTGGCAAAGTGCATCAAGTAATAAGGAACTCCACTACTACAATTAGCAGCAGCAACAACAGGTAACACCGAAACAGATAGAAGCCGTTGGCAAGTCGAACAACCACGCTGATGCAGTGGGGGTGCGCTGCAAAAAAACGAGACAGGCCGATGGAGCTGCCACAAAGCCAAAGAAGAAGCGCAAGTGGGGCTGACCAATTTGCGTGTTCAAGAATTCAGAAGAGAGAAAGCATGAAAGAAGATTGCGGATTTCATTCTGACTTGATCTTCTTGGTTTGGTGGATGCATATGGATGCCAAGGCGAAAGACTCGCTATCCCAAAGGCTTTGATCCAGCAAATCCTGGGCCTCCTCCTGATCCTGAAAGGCGGTGATCATGCCAACACAAACACTTAGTCCAGCGCAGTCTTGACATTGGAAATGCTGCACCATCGCCCTGCAGATGGCTCCCAAAGAGAGAGCGATCAGAGTTCAAGCACCACTGACGTGTTTGAGCAGTTTGATGGACAGCACGAATGATAACATATATATAATATATATATATAGCATATATATATATATATATGTATCTTATATTGCAAAATTTTTGTTATATTTATATATATCTTATATTTTCTTTCATTCATTCCTGTAAAGGAAAAAGATGAGGAAGAAGGACAAGCATTTGCTCCGGGGCCCACAAGGGTCGCACACTCACCTGTCAGTTCACCCATGTTTGTAAAAGCCGTTTGCGCGCCGTCTTGCTTTTCTACCCGAGGGCGATCACCACGGAAGACTTCCGAAAGCAGGGGCCATCCACCGCCCAAGTGGAGGCGCGGTGGCCCAAACAAACGGCGGCGGTTGAAGGGCTCCCTGGAGACGATTCACCGTCTGCTTGAGGTCTCCAAAGATGCCACCGGACCGTCCAGACGGAGTGGAAGAAAGAACAAAGGCTAGGTACGGCGCATGACGTCCTTTGGTCGTGGAACATGCAGTATTCAGAGAGAACGATGTATAATGATTCTGCCTGTTCCTAATCCCAGATCACTCTCATGGTTTTCTGCATATTTTGGATGGAAGGGGTGTGGGGGTGCGGGAGTTTTGACTCAGTATAGGGTTGCTTGCAGCCATTGCCAGGTTTCAGGTTTCGTTGTACTTTGTAGCAGAGTAACTTGCTTGGAATTGACAGAAACCATGCCGTGCACCAACAACGACATTGTGTGTGTGTGTTTTTTGACGAAGACGAACGACACCACAGACCCCTGGGGCCCCTGGACCAGTGCGCACACGACTCGTAGGCAAGTGAAGAATGCTCCACTCGGAGGCGCCTGAAGACCTCGCCAGTCCGCCGCATGGTTTTGAACCGCTCGCATGGTTTCGTGCAAGGGTTGCCCAGGTGCCCTGGTGGGAGTCAGTGTGGGTCACACAGAGACACATGTTTTTCCAAAGCGTGAAAAAGGTGGGTCTTGTTTTGATCAAGACCTCATGCGACATATACTGATGCAGAGGGATACACAGGGATGCATATAGGATCATATCGGGTTTTTGCAGTTGGTTCAAGACTCCGGACTGAAGAGATTCCACGATGGCCATTTGGTGCAACTCTATGATTTTATGCACGGGATGCCTACAAGCATCTATAAGCTCTGCAAGATGTGAGCTGTCGGTGAAACTCGGCGTGGAGACCGTCAGCCTATGAAGCAATGCTTCTCAGGCTCGGGAACTCCCTGGCAGGATTGAAAAGATAGCACTGGGAATCTGGATCGCCAGGTTGCACAGAGTTTGCACAGAGTGCCTAGCAGTTTCAGCAGCTTTTCCATGTGTGTGTGTGTGTGAGATAACTAGCTTTTCAGCAGTTTTGCGGGGAGACTTGGCAGCCATTTGGTTCGGACCTTTCCGATTTTGCAACTTCCACGCAAGCGAAGAACGAAAACCAACCAAACTTTGAACATGTTTGGCAGCACAAAATGTCTTCTCCCTGACAGACCTGCCTCTTGCAAGCCACATCTAGTTCAGTCAGAAATATGGCTGGCTACCAGGGTTAGCTTCCACCGGTTGCAGCTGGTGAACACCTTGAAACCCGCCCTGTGTTTGTCTAGTCCGCGACATCCACCATCATCCACGCATAGGGCCTGGAAGATGCCGTGTGGCACTTCTGTCCTGCGCAGTGACTTCACATGACATCGGAGTGTGAGGGACGAGGACACAACTTGAGGCAAAAGAAGTTATAGGGATAATCTTAGAATCTTATATAATCTTATATAACTCATATATATATATATATCAATATTGGATCTTGGAACTTGCCTCGTAACGTGCCTTTCCGATGTGCCTTTTTCTATTGGATCTGCTTCCTGCACAAAATAATCACAATACTTATGGTCTCCCATGGTCATTCAGAGGGCTCCGTTCACTCGCCCGACATACCAAGAATATGATAGACTATGCTTCTCAATGTTTCTTCCAGTAGAGCTCCCTGTCTAAGTTGATGTATTTTTGGCTTCCAGGACTCCACAGGAAGGCCCTTCACTCCCATGGGGAATGCCTTTGGAGGCGGTGGAGCTCGAGCACCGCGCTGCTTCGGAGCCTGTTTGAGCGCCTCGGTCAGGTCGATCAGATGAAGATGAAGAAGAAGCGGCCGAGCAGAAGGCGGGAAGATGCTCATTGGACCATCCATTGATCAGGTTTGGAATGAAAAGCGATTACCAAAAGTCTACAGGTGATGATCTATTTCGTTCAATTCTCTAAGTGATGCACCGACAGGCTTTAGAAAGATGGCGCCCGGAGGTTGCTGGGTGCCATGGTTGCAGCGACGCCCGCGGAAGAGTCCGTTCTGCCGCGATCGCTGTCGGGACCGGAGGGAGGTTTTGTCTTGAAATGAAGGCACACGACTGTGACTGTCAAGAAGAGGGTGCAAGCGCAGTCTGAGACTCAGGAAAATCTCATGGGTCCATAAAGACTGAAAAGGAAGCAGACATTCTCAGGAATTCCCATGAGGAGAACGATGCAGAACACTATGGAGAAGCGGACAATGCGTGCGACACTTGCGGATGATGCATCAAAAGTCATTGGATGCATTGAGTGCCTCAAAATCTCACAGCCTTGCCGTGTGGGAGTGCAAGGTCTGCGGTTTCGTCAGTCAGCCAGATGGAGGAGGAGATTTAGTGGAGTGATTGGATGGGAGCCTTTTTCTGTTTGGAGTGTTCTAAATTCATGAGTCATTTCTTGCTGGTTCTCAGCTGGAAGTCTGTTTTTGTGAAGGAGCAGGAAGTTGTTGTAGAAGAAGAAGCCGAGGAGGATGAGCAGCAAGAGGAGGCACCTTGGACCAGCTGTGGTGTCCTCAACGGATTTGGTTTGCGCCACAGGAGAAGCAGCAAGTGGAAGGAGGCTCACAGGCAGGGTCGCCGTAGGGCCATGTCACGCACAGGCAGTCGACCGCAGCAAGCTATGATGAGAGAACATAGAGCTCATGAAACCAGCAAGTCCCAATTGCTGCTCAGGGTGGCTCTGAGAGTAGCGAGGAGTTCGATGCAGAAGCCGAGGCCAGACAACGTCAGACAGTCTTGGAATTTCATGAGTCTTAATGAATCTTGGAGCGTTGAGCTCTTCACTCTTTCTTGGGAAAGTGTACTGTAGCGAGATCAAAGGGTGGTAGCACGGGTTGTGGTTGTGGTTGTGGCCATGGTTGTGGTTGCTGTCGTCGTCGTCGTGGTGGAGGTGGCCCACCACGGTGACGGTTGTGGTTGTTGTGGTTGTGGTTATGGTTGTGGCTGTGGCTGTGGCTGTGGGCTGTGGTTGTGGTTGTGAGTGCTGGGGATATACTTAATTACTTGATCTTAATGTATCTGTATTGCTGGTGTTTTGTTGCTTCGTTTATTGGACATTGAGTTTCCTGCAGACCGGAAGCGATGTTTTTCTCGTAAGTGGTGAGCTGCGGGTGCTTGGTATTTGACTACAATAAGAGCAGCTTCTTCGGTTTTGTTTAGTGCTTCTTTGGTTTTTGAACAGCTTCCCAAGCTGGCTTTGACCAGACCTCCAAGGTTCCACGGTTTCCACCTCCCACAGATGTTCTGTAGGCTGCCGCCAAGCGAGACGAAGCTCGGAAAAAAATGAAGATTGTCGTGGTCTTCCTGGCATCGTCTGATTTGGACTCCATGTTTGATTTGATTGTTTTGTCACTCACGTGATACTTCCGCCAGCGCATGGAATTTGAGCCCTTGCTCTCGCTGAATGAACCACTGGGCAACACTTTGGAGGAGGGCAGAGCCGGGCAGAGGGAGATCGTTCCTCCGGTCTGAAGATGGTTCCCCCGGTTCCCGCTTGAAGATGCTTGAGGAGCCTGCAGAGATCTTTTCCACTGGTAAGAGTGGAAAGCGCAACAAGCGAATGGAAGAGGCGAGGGTACGTGCCCTGAGGTTGTGGTTGTGATCGTCCATGAGTAGATTTGCACATCACAGTGCACACTGCAGCTGAGCAGCTGCTTACTGCCAGACTTTGCACTGATGCTTTTGTTCTGTTGTGTTTGTGCAATTTGTCACAATCTGGGTAGTGTATGGATGTTGGAGGCAGCCTTTGAGGATGCAAAGGCGATATACAGGGCTAAATCGAAGGCCAGAGCTGCAGGATGACTTGAAAGCCACTTCGGAAGGACATTGGACAGACTTGATACTTCTTGTTTCAAGTGCAAGAAGACCTTTTTTGCCGAATTTTGATTGCACTCAGACTGCTGCTGCTTGGCTGGATGAGATGGGCTTGGAGGCTGGCCTGGACCCCCTGAAATTTAGCAAGAGAAAGATCATACAAGCAATGTTCCTACTAGCTTCTTGTTACTACTAGTAAGGCACTTGCTACTAGTAGCGTGGCACTTGTTACTACTAGCTTCTTTAAGCAAAGGGCCATATTTATGCAACCTCACAGCAAAAGATCCTGTTGATATGTTCGAGCGCTAGACTGGCTGTAGCATGAAATGTCCAGACCTCCAAACACTTACCATGTCATTTGAACATCCTTGTAAATGTGCCGCCCCCGAGTAATAGATCCTGCACAACCTGCGGGATGCCTGGGTCCGTAGGTGTTTCAGGAAGCACGTTGGTCCATTTGTCCTGGAAAGATACTGTGGGGGCTGGCATCAAGTTTCTACTCCTTTGTGACTCCGTGGAGAGAACTGGTCCAGGACTGCCTCCTTGCTGAGCTCTCTCAAGGCATTGGAGAGGCCGTCTCAGTTTGAGCGCACGAGTAGCTGGCAGGTTGTCTCTGCCTTTATGAGGTTTCTCATCCGTTCCTTTATGTTCCTTTCCTAACTTGAAACACCTTGAAATGTTGCGGGAAACGCAAAACACGAAATCACATCAATGGATTGGCTGTTGTTTCTGGAGGATGCGGATGAGTTACGCTTTGCATTGGAACAGCGAAGAGCTCAGCAAGTGATGATGATTTGAAGTTGTAAGTCGTTTTGCTCGTTTTGCTCGTCTGACAAAGGAGCAAGCGCTTCGTGGTGGATGATGATCATGTGGTGCGGTGTTTGAAGCAGCTGGACAGTTTGACCAATGATAAAGTTTTCTTGCACACTCACAATATCTGCAGGAATTTAAAGGGTCATGGTTGCAAGACACGTGTACAACTGTAAGAGCATGAAAAAGACACAGCGGGTTTCTCAAACGCTGGAGCAGGTCGAGAAGACCCTGGTGCAGAGAGTCTTCGATGCAGGGGCTTCAGACAACCGCTGGGGTGTCGGCACTGAAGAGTGTGTATTTTAATAGGGAGGCCCGCTGGTGTAATGGATTTTGATCTGTCTATTTTCCTTCTTTCAGGAGGCCAAACTGGGAGGTCTTCCTCTTGTTTTGGCTGATCAGCCTTTGTGCAGGTCATGGAGAGCGATATCGAGACCATGACGGAAGTTCTTAACAAGCTTGGAGATGTTTCTGAGGCCGCGCGTCTACACAGTGAATAAACGGGTTCCCTTTCTACTTTGGCCTTACTGTGAGGGGGAGACAGGGTAAAGGGTAAACAAAGTTAGCTCCGTCGCATAGTTCCTTGGTCACAATGTGTACGGTGTTGCCCCTTTGAGGAATGGTGACTCTTTCTCTGTGGTGTGTAATGTGGGTGTGGTGTTGGGCAGCCAGTGTGGTCATCCACAGGCACGTTCTACGTTCTTGTACGTGCAGTGGGATAGGACAGGATACAATAAACAACATATAACAACATATTATATAGACAGTATATGCACAAAGTGCGGCTAAAAAGTGTGCGTGGGATAGACATATACTATATAGACCTTTCCCAGAAGAAGGCTGGTTGTGGCTTTGGACAGGCAGAAGTCCGAGCTGCGGTGAAAGACTCACTCGGAGAGTTCAAGCCGTGCTCTCAAGACTCGCTACGGCAGGTTCCGGTCAAACCTTGGCTTAAGTCGGAACGTGTGAACGCGCCGTAGGATGGATTTTTCTTTCTTAATAGCTGGATCGCACAACTTGAAATTGCAGCAGCTGGGCATGCTGGGCTCTCAAGCCACGAAGTTTGTCAGGATTCGAGTGGCCAATGACATTGAACTCCTTGAGAGAGTGGATGTTGAGGCAGGACGCAGTACTGTCACGTTCAAGTCACCATGTATGTTTGTCCAGAATTATTTTGATGAGCCTGCAATCTTTTGCTCACATCTCAAGCTCTGCTCATTCAGAATTGCCGCCCGGAAAACATGGATACGAGGTATACTGCACGCTGTGGTGCTCCAGTAGCGCAAAATCAAATGCCAGTTTGTACAAATGGTAAAATCACAATCAGTAAGGTAACAGACAAGTGCTGGCCAATACACTAGAGTTTAGACCATGGCATTGAAGATCTTCCTTCGCAAGGGTTTCCTTCCTTTCCCCCATGGCCAAGTGCTGGCAGCTTTTGCTGCTGTCCATACTACCTCACGCTGTGGGTTGGCAAAGACCTCAGACCTGGCTGAAAAATTCAACTCTTTGGATTGCAGTCCTGTGGGTCGAGCAAGGAAGAGGGAGTGCGAGGTGGCCTGCATCAACTACCATCAATTTCAGGCCCTTTCATGTCCTTTGCTTGAATTCCTGAATGAGCTTCCAATACCACATCAAATTCTGCCACAGAGGCGAGCCTTCAAAAAGCTAAATCAAAGTGTGCCAGAGCCTCAGAGCCAGCTGGCCATGACCACCATCCAGCCAATTGAACGATTAGAGATGCAGCGCGCCTCCATCGCCTTTCTCAAGGAGAAGGATAGCGACTGCTCCGGCGTGGTGGACTTCTCGGGCAATGGTGGCAAGCATGCACTCTGCAAGACTGGGGCTCCAGAGTCCAACATCAAACGAACATGTACGACACATATATAAGTTGTTCAAGCGAGTTCGATGTACGACACATGTGCCCGGAAAAATCGTTTTTTGACACGAAGATCAGCAGCCCTTCGAAGGTCGATGCCCTGGGTTTTGCCGATGCTTTGTGTCGATGCCAAAAAAACGGCTTCCAGGACGGGGTCGGACACGCGACAATGGCCCAAGGCGGGACACGAAGCAAACGGATTCTTCGGCCCGGCGAAGGTGATCGTCCCGTTCGTAGCGTCCCGATCGCTCCGTTCGTAGCGATGCCAGGAGCTCCGTTCGTAGCTTCTTGTTACTAGTAGTAAGGCCAGGAGCCCCTAGTAGCGTCCTTGCTTTTTGGCAGGTCTGTGTTGAATGGAAAGACCACTCTGAGTTGTAACCACTCCAAAGATGAGTGGAACCACTCCACATGTTTACGGCGTGCAGTGCGTAGCCTTACACGCCGGTCTGCGCTGCGCCAAGCGGTGCAGCGAAGCTTGCCGTGCGACGCGAGATCGCGCTTCCAAGTCGTGACGAGAAGGAAAAGATCAAGTTCCATGAAAAGTCGGGCGGGGCAGACAGAAAAAGTCGGAGACACTGGCCAGTTTTCGTGCAGATTCACCTCAGATTGGCAATTCTGTTACATAATAAAGGCTTGGCACGGGGAGAGAGAGAGGGAGTGAGAATCCTTTTGTTCTTCCTTGAGCTAAGAAGTGCACCACTTCAGAGGAAGAGCAGCGGGCCAAGCGGGAGGAGGAGAAAGTCCAGAGGCCACCCAGAACCTATGCATCCTATGTTTGAATGCGATCTCTTTTGTTTCGGATATGCATCCAGTCATACATGAAAGCTTGGCAATGAAATCTTCGCAAGGGTGAAAGAGAAAATGCAGAAGAAGAAGGAGCAGCAGAAACGAAGGAGCGCGGAGCTTTTTCGCTGAGAAGACGCACTCGGGGATCCAATGGCGGGTTCTCGGCCAGGAGAAGACGAGGCAGGATGGCCCCTCCACACCCGCGTTGACGCCCCCGGTACGCCGGCGCGCAAAAACCGGACGTGGAGGATAGCCCGTTTGAGGCAAGAAGGAGGAGGATGCAGAGGAGGAGTCTGATTCCTCCGAAGAGGATCTGGGTGGCCAGGATCCTGCAGCGTCGGCCTCAGGCTTAGTCTCTGACAGTCGAGACAGGCGGCCATTGACTCAGGAGAAGAAAGCATTAGCCTTTCGGAGGCTGCAGGTCGGGCGAGTAACAAGGCAGGGGGACTTGGGCTCAGATTACCGGATGGCTCAGGTACAGATCAAGATTGAGGAGTTTTTGAAATCCTACACCAGAGGCCGGCATTTCTCTAGCGCCAATTTAACAACATCTACCCTTCGATGGTTGGTTGCGACCAGGCCAAAACTTGGTCAAAATCAATGCGAGAGGAAAGAGGCTGGAACTGCACAACCCACCATTTCCATAGACCAAGTTCTTCGCAGAATGGTTCAGGTTCAGATCACTACACACATCTACACACACATGTATACACACATGCTGGCTGCATACTTGCGGATATTTTAGATAAAATGACAGTTCTTTTCATGCGGAATACAGTACATAGGACATCAAGGAGTACTCAAGTGCCACTAGGTTGTGTGTGGCCATATGTACAGTACGCCAGTATGCCATGAGTGAATGCAAGCGGATACCAGCTTTGACCTGTTCTTTTGGCTTCCACAGCTCTTTCACTGCTAGGTATGCGAGGCGGGTGTATGTTGACACGGCCAAACGCGCAGCAGCCTCAGCAACATCAAGGTGTTGACGTATTTGCTTATCTCTCAGAGCAGCTCTCAAAAGGAGTTTGGAACACTTGGAACCCTCCATTTTGTTTTTTCTCTGTTTGCAGCAATAATGCTTCGTGCTGGCACTCAAGTGAGGCATTAGTGGTTCAAGGAGCGAACGGCCCAAAATTCTTCCCGCACGCCCCTTCTCGTATTGGTCTTCAGCATGCTTGCTTGTTCGTTTGCCCTTGGACCACTTGCCAGGTTTGCTGCCATGAAGGAGGTCGATCTTGAAACACGAACCACTAAGGATCCTGTTTTTGATTCCCCTTTATTACTCTAAAGCTTAGACTGCCGAAGCGATTGCTCAGGAGGGGCGTGTGGAGACCCTGGTGATTTGTGCAATTGAGAAGGAAGGGCGCATTGTGAAGGACCACCAGATTTTGAGTTTGGCACCTGCGACCTGTATCTAATATATATATATATATACATACACACATTCATTTCCTATATTAAATTATCTATACTTACTTTGTATTTGCATTTCACAGCAACCGTGTCTTGCTGCTCAAAGGAACTGACCCTAGCATTCCCCGACCAAGCAAAAGCAGGGAGCTGAGTCTGAATTGCAAGGCTGCAAGAATCATGAGCTGCCAGTTTGCACCCTTTCTAGGCCAGTACCTTTGTCAATTGCGCCAGTGCCTTATCACCAGCAGACACGATGCCCCCGTTGCCAGATCTCCTTTTTCAGGTCACCCTCTTTTCACTTGCACTTCGCCGAACGCAATCTGATTGAGCGTGCATCACTGCCGCTCCTTTTCCAAGCTTTTGCACCATGGCTGGTTATGTCATTGTGTGTCATCGTGCTTTCACCCTGCATTTGAGTCAGTTGCCCCAGAAAAGCTGGGATGCGTTAACGAATCGCTGCGAAGAACCTTTGCCAAAGAATGGCAGTTGCTCAGGACTGCGAGGCCTTAAGTGCAGCTTCACTGTAGAACTTTGTGCGCCAGCCGTGATGCTCCAACCTGCCCTTTCCACCTGACAATTTTTGGGCTCAAACGCTTAGATAGTGTTTCAAGACACACATACATCCAACCACTACTTCACTTTAAACTCACCTCCTATCTCACCTGATAGCCTAGAAAAAATTGGAACTTGCTTTAAATCTACCGACCGGTAAGAAGCCCACCAAACCCTGCTAGTACCCGCCCAGCCAAAACAGACACCCACACCGAGCGAGATAGACAGACTCGACTTTTGAAGCAGTCTCTTTCAAAACAAAATTCTTTCTAGGTGGCAGTCCAGGCCCGCTCATGGACCCGGCGCTGGCTGCAAGGTTTGCTCGCCAGAAGGAGTACCAAATTCGACTTCAAACTTGTTCTGACTTGCCCAGAACCGGGGAAGCCAGGCCTTTTGCCATCAACGCCTCGCAGGAAAAGCTCGAGCGAGGCGACGAGGATGTGGCAGAAATCGGCTCCCAAGCCAACCACAAGACGCAGCTTGACCCCGTCCTAGCACAGCGATGGGATCCACTGACACGCTTTGCGTCGCAAGCAGATAGGGTTTCCAGGCTTTGCGTCGAAGAGGCATCTCTCTCATGGCCAGGAGAAGTTGCAAGCTGGAAAAGGTGTCGTGAACGACGAAATCGGTTCAATAGCAGAAACATGGCTTGACCAATTCACAGCGTTGCCTAGTGCGCCAGACTGAGCCTGAGGACAAGAGTGTCAAGTTGGATCCTGTTCTGGCCAAGCGATGGTCAAAGCAGCAGGACGTTCTTCCGCGGGCATCGCGCGCGCATCTTGGCAGATCGTTCTGACGTCGCTGAGGAGCGAATGGATGATAATTACGTCTGTGACATTCCGGATGTGATCTCCGTCGCCGACAAATCCACGCAACTTTCACTTGCACAAAAAACCTGCACAGATGTGAGTTGGACGTCCCTCAGACGTTGAAGTCCCGTTGGACCCGCTTATGAGGTGTTTTTTTTTCTGCTCAGGAAACTTGATCCTGTCCTGGCCAAGCGCTGGGCTTCAGGAAATGAACGCCTTGCAGCAGGCTGGGATAAACAAACAAATCATAAATATGAGCTGTGGACTTATGACATGTTACCATAGCTCACCATAGCTATATCATGTTCATAAATCTGCATAACAATTCATAACATGTTGATTCCTGCCAACATCTTATGACATCCTTATGACATCTTATGTCGTACAATGACGGCAGATTCTCAATGATAGCAGGTCGGCGGTGCTACCGCTACTCTTATTTTGAACATTGAAAGGACAGCGTAGAAGCTCTGAACACCTTCGACTGTGAAGGTCAGGAAGTTCCTGAAGTAGGGTCCAGAGCGGACTTCTCGAGGCACAGACAAATTTGTTTTGGACCACCAATGACTGCAGACCCGAAAGCACCAGACTCCTCTTTGAGTCTCTGAAAGTTCTTGCGGGGGTTTGTGTCCATGGCGCTCCATGTCTTGCGGGGATTTGCAGGAAAGATACTGAACTGGCCAAGACCTTTGCCAAAATGCAGAGGCAAGCCAAGCGAGGCGCATTGACAGCGCATTGACAGCTGCCTTTGTTTGAAGGTTCACCCTTTTGACGCCTCTTGTTTTCGGCAAATCATCACTCACATCTGCTTGGCTGGAGAAGGTTGCATTGGATTTATGTACTGCTATACTGCAGTATAGCATTATTCTGACAGATTTTACACAGACAAACTTTTAGTTGTAGCTGATCTGAGGCAATGGTGAGGCAGAAAGGTGTCAGCTGCAATTCTCTGCTTGCTGGCTGCAAGATCCCGTTCTCTTCAACAGTAGCAGTAGCAGGATAAATTTGTTGATATTTGTTGTATTCACAAACAGAATCCTTTTGTATTTTGCAGTGTTTTGCTTTATTGATAAGGCTGGCCAGAAGCTTGAACATGTGGCAGAATGGGGGCCAGATGGGCATGCTGGTCGTTTGCACTGGAGCGCAGCCGCTGAGCTGAAACGCAATCTCGGCTTTTGAAGTCTACTAGTAACAAGGACATCGCTATTAGTAGCTAGAGGCTATTAGTAACTTCAAGGAATCATGTTGAGATTGGAGGGGCCGGAAATGTTGGATGCTGGTGAACATGAGCAGTGAACGTGAGCCTCGGTTGAGACTAGAGGAGTATGGCTTGCTTTGCATCTCTGTTTCAGGTGGTCCTCTCTGACCTTACCGTTGACTTGGAAGTTCGAGCAGTTGTGCGCATCCCTCCCGACACGGAGGATAGTGAACCCACAACTGAAGAAATCGTGCTGCACAGGCAAGGCGGCAAGATAGTTGTTTTCTGTGCTTTTCTAACTAGTGCCCGTGCCAACGCCTGCGTGCCCCCACCTTTGCCTCTATTCACTATTCACAATCTTGCCAGGAATGCTCGCGGTGGCACTTTCGTGGGAAGTCTGGATGCAGCATCTGACAGGCCTATGGACTTGGAGCAATTATCACGAGTCTAGAGTCTAGAGATGCGATTTTAGTGCCAGATATGAGAGTGAACTTCGCAGGAGGCTTCTGAGATGTACAGGCTCCGATGGGCCAGATTCGTCATGTGACTCTTGTCACAGAGGCTTTCAGGTGTAGCGTTTTTTTCGTGAAATTGGGGTGTCTCCTACTCTTGAGCAGCGGCCTTTGTTTGCACAGGTGAGAGAAAAGTTCGGAAAGAAGCTTGAACCTCGGCCCTTCGTTCACCACCCATCGGCATGCGGAGGCCCCCTCTCCTACTCTACCTCGCAACATCGAACGAACAATCGCTCAGGTCGTGTCCCTGGCATTTAAGTTCAGCAATTCTTTTAGCTGGTTCACGCCTTTCTGCCACGCTTGACAGTTGCCTTCGTGCCAGTTTTCGAGCTCACCACCTGGTACACATGACAGGGGGAAGGAAGTTGAATTGGCCCGAACCCAATGATTTGCTCTTAGGTTGGAGGCCAGTGCTATTAGGTAGGAGGCAATCGCTACTAGGGTGGAGGCCATTGCTCTTAGGTTGGAGGCCATTGCTTCTAGGTTGGAGACAGGAGTTCCACCATCATGATTCTACGTGAGACATCGTTTTACAAATTTCAGCATGGAAGCACCAAGGTTCTCTTGAAGGAATGACCCGAGTGAACCAACATCTCAACATCTCAGCTTCATGTGCACCAATTTCGCGCAACCAAAATTGAAGCTCAATCATTCTGAATATGTTTATGCATCATTATTCATATAATATTCATATATTTGATGTACTTGAGCATCGGATAATTATATATGTAAATTCGTTTATTCACATTCTTTTTGCACACGTAGAGGGGTCATAACACTGACTGGAGGTGGACATGCATCGTCATGACTTGGGCCTGGCACGCGACGAGGGACGTGGAAACAAACCAAGAACAGCGTTAAAACCTGCCAAGCAGAAAGTGAGGAGCAGGAACTAGGCACGAGGCGCCAGGTGAGCAGGAACTGGGGAACAGGACTGGAAAACAGGAATCTACGAATTGGGAAGAAGGAGGAGATTGGAAACAGGATTAACATTAAATATCTCTATCTGTACACATTATTTATATTATGTTAAATATATTTACTCTGAAATATATACATTTGGAATTAATTATTTAATATAGAATAATATATATATAATATATATATATATATTGACTTGATATTTAATAAATATTAATGGAATTTAATCTGTTTAATATAGATTAAATTCGATTGACCCCCCCGAAATAAAAAGGTCGGGATGAATCTAAGTAATATCCGAAAGGAATGGAGGATAGCGGACATTTGATTATGCCAATTTCTGGAATTATTTCTAATTAGGATTTAGTTATAAAGGAAATCTAGCTTAAGCTTTATATAAATAATATTAAATTATATGAAATATTTCGAAACTTGGCAATTATTTAATCTACATATTTTATATTATGGGGACGAATTAGGATAATTTTGGATTTTGGATTCGATATTTTTTTGATGAATTTTTTTATATAATAATTATATTATAAATTAATATAGATTTAATAATTATTAAAATATATATTGAATATTGTATTTAATTTAATATTTTGAATATATATTTATTAAATAATATATTGAAGGAAAATTGATTTTTTTATATTTTAAATTTGATTTTTAATTATAATATATATTATATATATAATTTTTATTTATATTAATTATATTATTTAAATAATTCGATTTGATAAGGATTTTATGGTATTTATCGTAAAAATCTTAGCAAATTAATTTATGAATTTTTGAATTTAATTTATATATATTATATTATTTGAACTTATATTTTTAATCTTAGGATATAGATGCTTTTGTCGAATTTTCGGTCGAATTGATTTTTTATTTAATTCTATTTTGCGTCGTGCTTTTTTATGTTGTTTGGTGTTGTTATAGTGTTAATATTGATGGTTTTTTGTTGTTGTTCGTGCTGTTATAATTGTTGTTATTGTTTTTCTATTCTCTTTTAATTTTGTGTATGCAACCCTCCGAAATTGAATAAAAGCTAAGGGTTATAGAGACTAAACATGTGATTTTTGGTACTTTATTGCTGTAATTATTGAGCCGCTGCTATTTTTACCGTTGTCATTGTTGTTATTGCTGTTTTCTACATTGTTGTATTGCAGCCGCTGCTGCTACCGCTGAGCGATCGACTCTCAATAATCTCAATATTGCGGATCGTCCGCTGGATTAGACAGAATAGGCTGCGCGCCTTTGCTTTTGTCTTTAGCAAACCTCGGTGAATATTGTGCAATTGCTTCGATGTGTGCTACGGATATAAGATCGTCGGTTGCATGATCTACCAGTGCTCGAACCCGTAGGCTTCGGTCTAAGAGGGGCGGACTCAAATATGGATAGACCGTATCATCGAAATGCATAATCTCCTGAATTATATGGAGGAGATTACGAATATGATGCAATTCGATACATATGATTGTTGTGTGGGATAGATGTCATAGACGTGAGTTGCCGGAATGCCATGTGTCCAAATCCAGAAGGCGGCTTCCATGTTGGGCATCATATCGAATAGATTCAGGGAATAATCGTTGTGAGATTGCAAATTTGAAATCTGCAATATAACGATTTACAATCAGAATACATCAAAAGAAAAACAAAATAATCATTAGGGGTGATGAAACTCCGATTGATGAAAAGCAATTTGGTAAAAACAAATGGACGACGAAAATTCAATCATCAAATAATTATTGACACATTTTCTGAATTCGAATGTTATCAATGGATCCAGAATGATGAAATATTCGGGCATCTGGCTTCTGTGGCTTTTGGTTTTCATGGCTTTGGCTTTTGGCTTTCGTGGCTTTCTATTGTTGCCATACGAAGGAAAGAAGGAGATAAGGAAGGCAGGAAGGAAGCAAGGACGAGGGCTTCTGAGGCGTGTGACTTATGGCTTTTGAGGGGGAGGAAGGTACAAGCCGCTTGTAAGCCATCCGGAGGTAGAATTTAGATGAGGAAAATGCCAATTCAATTGTGTAGACCTTTGAATTGAGAGGTTGCTTTCAGTGCCGGGTTACTGATTATACTTTCTTTTCATTGCGGGGAAGATATTGTCTTAATTTGCACGATTGCAACGGGGCAACTAAACGTTGGCAACGCCGTAAAGGTGGATGATAAGGCCCCCCTTCGTTTAGTTGTGATAATGCCACAAAGCTGGATGAAATGGCCCTCCTGCACCTTATTACGGGGATCCAAATTGGAGGAGGAAATTATTAGTCCAATGACGCATATCTTTTGTAATCCCCCAGGCGTTCAAATTTAAA